GGGAAGGGGAAGCTAGGGGAATAGGCCACTTTCAAAATAATAATAGCGAGTCTTACAGGACATAAACAATGAAAATGAATAATATTTGGGCGCGTGAGAGCCCCTTCTCGCCCGCCCCTCGCCCCCTCTCCCCGTCTTCCTTTTTAACGCTTCTCACACAGTCTAGGGAGGCTACAAGGAGTGTAGTTTATATGTTAGTAATCTTATACCCTTTTGCACTGAGTGAGCAAAAGGGGTGTCTCCACCGAGAGGAAGGGGTAATGACACCCCTCCTGGTAATCAGTGGTACCTTAAAACTTGGAGAAGGCGGCGTCCTCGGAGAAATTTGTTCCCCTCTTGAAGCTAGAAGCGTCAGTGACCGTGACAGGAACCCATGGGCTCCTGTCAGTCTTTTTTTTGCAGTCCCTCCCATTTATTAAGGGAAAAGCCCCAGGAATGAGGTTTTAAATGAAATTACCCTATTTCCCCCTGCCCTTTGGCTTCCCTTTCTAACACCCACTATGCACGCTGCATCCCCACAAATGAATGCAAGGGAGATACAGAGACGGCAATGGAAGTTGGAGAGTTTGAAGAAGACAGTCTCACAAAACCACGCACTTTACCTCCGCGGCTGATTTACTTGGCCGATCGTTTATTACCTGACAGACGTGGGACCGGTTGATGGAGCTGTTTTTGCTACGTTCCACTAGCCGGCGTGCGAAAAAGCACAAACAAACAAGGAGACCTTACTAGGAGAAACATAAGCACCCCCTCCAAAAGAAAAAAAAATCCTTGAATTCCCCCCCCCGAATCAACAATCGCGTGAGTGAGGTCCCGGGAGCGCTGCCAACCATGGTCAATCAAGGTTAAAAATAGTCTTAGAAGAGGGTCTTATGTCGGTTGTCAGTTAAATATAAGGCTTTTGGTCAGTTGTCAGTTAAATGATTATTAATCATTAACTATGAAACTTATTTGTATATTTTTGATGTGAAATTCAGCTTTAAAGGCACATATAATGTAAATTAATGATTAAATTCCAAACCTGATGCAACAGTACCGTAATTTTTATCAGTTTTGCTATTGTAAGCATTTCATGTGGCCCTCCATTTCTTAAGTCTTGTGTTACTCTCCTCCTCTCGAACGTTTTTGCTGGCCAGAGTCCAACATTTCCAACCATTGTGCCAATCAAAATTTATACCTTCAGAATATATTATTGGGAAGTAGATCGAAAGAAAGACCGAGAAAGACCGTATCTGAATCATCTCGGAAAAAGCCCTCATAAGTAGCCATCGTATGCTGGCGCGTTCTCAGAGGAGCGTAAATTTGAGATCATAGGTTATTTACCACAGATGGTACATGACATGGGTTTTACAGTAAATCATTAACGAAATATGACACTTAAGTGTCTTGCTTCCAAACGACCATTTGATCACATTGTCTGACGAAAAGAGTGGAACGGGTTTTGTAAAAAATGAGGGACAATCACTTCCTTTTTCAGTGGACAGTAAAACCTAAGGCAAATGTCAGTTGTCAGTTAAATTTTAGGCTATTTGTCAGTTGTCCGTTAAAATTTTGACTCTCTTAAGGTGATGTTACACGAGACGATTCGCAACGACGATTTTTAGCGCAACACAGCGTAGCAAAGGTGGAACAATGTTGCAAGCATTCGAAACAATGTCGCAACAATGTTGTAATGCTGCGTCGCGCTAAAAATCGGCGTTGCGCATCGTCCCGTGTTACATCACCTTTCGAACTGCTACATCTTTAATTTTAGCGTCGCCACGCAACGCTCCTCCCCACAAGTAAAAATGAATAAATGGAGCGCTTGCTAGCAGGTTATTTATTAAGCTTTAACTTCCAGCGCTCTTCATTTTGTTTATTTTTTCTTGATTCTACATTTTGTATAGCTCAGTAACGCTGGAATGCGAGGGGAAAAGTTTTCCTTTGAAAATTAAAAGGTCGGATTTAACCAGCAACCCCCATGAATTGCGTGACTTTTTGTGTACAGTACTTAGATTGAATATGCACAGTCATAGTTGATTGTGTAATATCTGTGATCATTGGGTCACTGGCTGATGTTCCCTTTCATAAAATTGCGTCAGGTTTGTGGGGAGGAGCGTTGCGTGACGACACTATGTGTGGCAGATCTTGGGTCTCTTGGACCATTTGATCGAATCTTGTCGCATCGTGAGCAGCTGAACGAACACAGTAGAAGATTGAAAATGGTTACCATAAGTGTTAATGATCGTTTGCTTGCTGCCTACCTTTTCTATGGCGGAATTCTCCTGCTTAAAATGTTGTCGATGTCTTTGATCACCGCTTTTTATCGCATCAAGAACAAGGTTTGTGACATCATTGTTTTCACTTGAACAGAAAAAATGGATGATTTATTGTCTACTATACCCGCTCCTCGATCTTAAAATCCTGACCTTGTTATGATACACCTTACTCTGTATTCGAAAACAAATTTGGTGGTGGGAGGTCCTTGTTAGATCCCAGAGCATGCCGTTGTTGTTGAGAAGCTACGCAGGCTGTTGAGAAGCGTTTCCAACGCACACTGTTCAGGGTATAGAATGGTACCTCGAAAAACGCGGCTCTCGGAAAATTTTAGCCCGATCTTGAAACCTTGGAAGCGTTTTTGATGGGTCTAGAAGTCTCGTCTTCGAATGATTTTTTTAACACACTTAACGTCATTAAACGAGGGAATAGAGGTCGGACCTTTAGATCAATACCCAGACTGATCTGATCAACACCAGAAAGTGTGTAAACTGCCCCCCAGCCCACCCCAACGATTGTCCCGCGCTCTAATAACGCCTGGAACGCACGCGTTTCCGATTGGATCGCGCGCGGATAATTATTATTGAACAAGGTCAATCAAGGTTAAAAAGTCTGGAGTTGACTAGACTGCGTGGCAGGCGTTTGAAAGGGAAGGGAAAGGGAGTTTTAGGTGCGAGAGAAGTGCGAGCCTCGCGCGCCCCTCGCGTTTCTCTTGCACCTAAAACTCCCTTTCCCTTCCCTTTCAAACGCCTGCCACGCAGGCTAGGAGTTGACGAACACCGAACTTCTTCGACTCTATCACAATCTGATCATACGTACGCAGAAGCAGTGTGAAAATGGTTACTTTAAAAGTTGACAATCGTTTGCTTGCTGCTTACCTTTTCTATGGTGGCATTCTGCTTCTTAAAATGTTGTTGATGTCTTTAATCACCACATTTTATCGCCTCAAGAACAAGGTTTGTGACATCATTGCTTTCTTCAGTACCTTGCTTTCCAAAATCGCCGCTCAAACTCGAAATCCTGAACTTGTTATAATACACCTTACTCTCCACAGAACAATAAATTTTGTGCTAGACATCTGGTAGAACCCTGTGCATGCCGTTATCTTAAATTACTTGCTGACATGCGTTTAGCTAGGCTCCTGGCTAGCGCACATGCACGGTAACAGTGATACAGTATGTTGCAGCTTTTTGGATCAATAACTGCTAAACAGTGTACTATGCTATGTTGACTGTTGAATGTTGAATGTTAAAATATTGTTGGGACTATTCCGTTTGACAAGTTGCAACTTGTTGAACTTTTTTTTAAAAAAAATGCTGAATCATTCAACACTCTGCAACATCTTTTGTTGATTAGCAACATACTCCTTGGCTAACCGAGGGATCATACTGTTCTTTACATTGTAGACGGTGTTTTGTTGGATTTAAGAATTGAAAACACCTTTTACATCAACAAAACAAATCTGCTTTCTCCATGTGATCTTAGCATTTTAAGGCTCATCTCCGGTGTAATATAATTTATTACTCATAGCTGATGTGAAACAGAGACAACAAAACATCCTTAACAATGAACCTAACCCTGACAATAGTCCATAAAACAAAGAAAACTAATAAATTATGTTACACCAGGGATGACCCCATTTTAACTGACCCCCACCTCCAATAGCGCAGGTACTAGGTGCGGCTGTGACTGAAGGTTATAGGATAACGTTTAGAATTCTGAGAACTACGCTTCTCACCTGCACACCTACAAAACCTAAAAACCCTCTGCACTGTTCTAGCCTTGCATGTTACCGTATTTATTCGAAAAGGTGCCCAACCTCGAATTAGCGCTCACCTCGAATAAGTGCTCATCCTAAAGGCAGCAAAAGTTAATAAGCGCCCAGCCTCAAATAAGCGCCCACCCCCTCCTCCTCCCAATGAAACTCAAATAAGCGCCCACCCCCACCCTACCCACTTGAGTGAATAAATTCTAATAAGAGACTTCCCCAAGGACGCAGGTTTCTTCAGAGTATTTTACAGAAAACTTGCTTTGTTACTTCTTCACGTTTTGTTAGAAGCATTTATTGTTTTGTTGCAAAATAAACATGCTTCACTTACTGAAAATGGAGAAAATATAATAAGCGCCCAGCCTCGAAAAGCGCCCTCCTCGAATAAGCGCCCACTCTCAAGGTCCAAAAATTTTACAAGCGCCCAGGGCGGTAAATTGTATAAATATGGTATGTTATTGGTCCTTTACCTTGATGGACATCTAGCACATCATTAATAATGGAGATTCAGAAAAGAACCACAGAATATTGCAGTGTGGAGTGGTCCCATGCAGAAATTTATTGCAAAATTTTCACTGCAACCCTCCAAGTTAAAGTTTTTGCTTGGTCGCCATTTGGCAACCAACTCTTTTGGTTTAAGGAGACTTTTTTACTAAGCAAGTCGCCAGCTCCAAAAATTTTAGGTGCCATGGCAACCAAAATGGTTGCAAATTAAAGGGTTGCACTGGTATAAGAAATGATTATAATCATGAAAAAGTGGTACTGAGTCAAAATAAATTATATGGTCTATTCTGTATGTGGCAGGAGGAGTGTGCAAAGCTCAGCAATCCATTTCTTTTTCACATTTCCTTGCATATGAGTTTTTTTAATGCTTGATCTTACTTTAAAAAGAAAACATATATATAACCATATAGCGCAATGATTGTCTATGAAAAATGTGCCGTCATAGATATACTTATTCCATCATTCACAATGACAGGCACTTCCAAGCCCAGAAGATTATGGGGAAAAGAAAAGAGATGAACCTGTACCAATAAATGATGACGTGGAGAGAGTTCGAAGGTGTGTAAATAGTGTATGTCAAATCAGCCCCTTCCTTCAGTCTGCATCACCTTTTCCAGTTTATGATTGTGGTTGCTACCCTACCCTTTGGATGCCTTGACCAGAGGCAGCTGAGAAGTATGAGAAGTGTGTGTAGTTAAATTAAACATATCATAATACCGCAAGGTTTTTCACCGAGTGATACTGAAGTATTTCTAGTGACAGGCAAAATTTTCCGGGGGACATTGCCATTGTTTGCACAACTTTTCTCAATAAAACCAATAGATACATATACTGATTCTTACTGACATTTATTTTGCATCAATTATTTGCCTGTTCATGCATTTTCTGGTAACATTTGAGAGGCAAAATCCATTAAGAGGGTTTTACTGCTCTGTACACTGTGTTTATAGTTTCCCCAAAAGGTTTTTTTTTGATAATAATGATAATTTTTTATTAAACCATCATCAGTATTACAAATGTCAATGTGCCCCAATGCAAATAGCATTAAGAAATGGTGACAAAGATTCTTATTGTTATGTTGTTGTTATTTTAAGTGTATTTCATGATGTTTTTTTTCACTTTAGAGCTCATCGTAATGATCTCGAAAACATCCCAACATTTCTGATCATTGCCTTACTCTTCATGTTGGCTGGCCTGTGTCCAACCAGGGGCATCTGGTGTCTGCGAATCTTTACAGCAGCAAGGATCGTTCACACTTTGTCATACCTCAGTGCACTCTCCAAGCCAAGAGCTGCGGGCTTTCTTATTGGTTTAGTTTGTACCATTGTTCTGGGAGTTAGCGTGCTGCTCTCTGCAGCTCATGCTGGTTCATTTTAGTTGTGAATAAACTGCAATAATAGTTTTCAAGGGCGGATCTAGGGGGAGGGTGCCGGGGGTGCGCACCCCCCCCCCCGACCTGCGGTTTTCTTATATAACTGGTATTCTGCAAAAAAAAAAACCATGTGGTTTATTGTTGTTGAAGTAGAGCAAGAGTCGAGTGCACCCCCTCTTAAAAAAAATTCTGGATCCGCCCCTGGTTTTGTAGCCTAACTAAGCTGTGTCCCTTAAACATACTTATTTTACTTGCATGAGCATAGTCAAAATCTTTGTAACTATTTTTTTTTCTTGGTGTTGCAATTCCACTGAGGGAGTTTTCTCGGATTTAGTTTTGTGTAGGTATGGCCTCCTTATTTAGATGTGGGTGTTGTATGCCCAGGCGTTTTTCATTTTCACAATGGTAATCTTTAAATTGTCCCCGTCAATGGCCATAGACCTTGTCACGGTTTTCGACGCCATCTTGACAAGTAGGCAAACGGGTGAGAAATTCAGTACAGTATTTGTATGAGAATCCAATGTGGAATAATTTCTGTAAAATGGCTGTTTTGAAAAAAATATGAATTGTAAACTAAAGCTACACAGCAAAGGATTTTACCAACAAATTTTGGGGGCCGTTACTGTGCTTAAATTTCTCCAAAGCTTGCTTTAGATTTTCCACATATTTGTCTGTAATTTTTCCTGGGAAATTTTTACAGAAAAATGTATAGAAAATTTTTTGAAAAGGTTCTAGGTCTTGTAGCCCGTTGTAGCGCATGTAACGCTGTCACATTTTTCAGTAGAATCCTTTTAAAAGAGTGAAGCTTTAGTTTACAAGTCATATTTTTTTCAAAACAGCCGTTTTACGGTAATTATTCGACATTAGATTCTCATACAAACACTGTAATTTCTCAAGCGTTTGCCTACTCGTCAAGATGGCGTCAAAAACCGTGACAAGGTCTATTGGAGGATTAGAGTATAGTCCCTCATAGATAAAAGGGACCTTAAGCAAGGGCGACGACCACGGCAGTGAAAACGTCGGTAAAAAAGTGAATTTGCGTTCTTTCCAACTGTATCGCTTCTATTTGGACCCGCTCAATGTGTCAAATGCAGGCGACTTTTCCTGGAGTTGAATTCTTAAGGATTTTATTCAGGTTCAAAAAGAGGAAGGAAAATTCGTCATCGCATGCCCACCTCCTCCTTAAAACTGCAAATTAGGAGGTTTCACGTCGTAGTCGTGCAGTGGACGTCAAAGAAATGTACTAAAAGGCATGATGCACGAGCAGAGCTGTTGTTTTGATCATTAAACCTTATTGTTTTTTGAAGTTGTCGTTGTGGTCATCGTCGTAGTTGCTCAACCTCCCTAAAGTCACGCATGGAGATTCAACTGTATTTGCTTTTTAGTCACGTGACTTAACTCTACAGGTGTACGCCCATATGCCCGTATAGACTCTAGGGGAGGTGGAGGGGCGACTCTGGAAAGAAGCAGAGGGATTTCCCAGACATGCAGCGGCCTGCGTTTGTCTCGGTGAAAAATCCCATATTGGGCATCTTCAGCCTAATTAAGTTCCAGTAGGCCATTTCCAAATTGCTTTAAGCCTCTGTTTCAAAGCGAGGCTAAGTGCAAAGATGAAAATTAATTTTTTGTTCTCATGCAAATAAAAGCTGTCTCATGTTCTTTGTGTACGGCTTTTCATCGTAATTGGGACTTTCAGATCCAAGGACGCGATGACAGCGAAAATGCCGTTTTAAAATTGAATTTGCTTTCTTTCAGTCTTTATCCCGATTGATTCTACCACTTACTTTGTCGAATGTAGGCAAACCCTCCTGGAGTTGAATTCCTAGGGCAATATTCAAGTTCAGAAAGAGAAACAAAATTTCGTCGTTACTTGTCCACGTCCTTTGTGAGATTCGGAATTGAACGTATGCGCGGGTGGTGAGATGCCAAAAATAGGAATACGGGATTGCATGAAATTTTGGGTCAGCTTGGGTCGGGATTACGGGATTGAAGAACCCTGTTGGGGATCCTCGTCGTAATCGTGCAAGAAACAAGAGAAATGTACTAAAAAGCGTGGCACGTGCAAAGTTGTTGTTTTGCGTGCTATAAAACCTATTGATTTTTGACGTTCTCGTTGCCGTCGCGTCGTCGGATCTTAAGTCCTTAATCTGAAGCAGGACAAATATGTTAATGACCTTGATGTTACTTCCTTGCTACTTCAGTCGCTCCCCAGTATCACTATGCTTTTAAGAGCAATAGACCTCTTTAGTTTGTATGTTTTGTTTTCCCAATACATGTCATGTGATAATACTTTAGAGAACTGTTTCTTTCAAATTTCGTCTTATTCACGTGCATATCTACGCGTAATTTATGAAAAGACAATGGATCAAGTTCGCCTGGGACCTCTATTGGGAAAACAAAACATACAAGCTTAAGAGCTGTATTACATGTAGGTTGTATTAACTAATGTGTGCATTGATTTCTTAGTGTTTATGTTTTTTTTTATTAATTTATAATGCCGAATGTCATATATACATGTACTTTTTTTATTTTCCTAGTTTCGTATAGAGTATAGAGTATGTGTAATAGTTTTATATTGTGTTTTATTTTTACTTTTATCCTTTACATTACGCGATGCCACAAGCATTTGCTTTAAATTTATGTTGCGATCGAATAAAGTATTGGACGATGATAACTTTGAATGTGATCGGAAATAAAAAGAGAAACTTATTATTATCATTTTACCTTAAATTATGTACTGGTAATTAAGAGCATATAATGTTCAGCGTTTTGCTAACTGTTAACCAAGAAAAGGAAAGCGTTAAAATTCGACTAAAACGTACACTGTACCAAACGATGGAATAAACTTATTGGAACTTGGTAATGGCCGCATTAGCAGGCTAAGAATAACCAGTTTTCTTTGAGATGACTACTGAGTAAGTATTCTTGTACATGAAATAAAAACTTGTTTTGTTTTCCACCAAGGAAAACTTGAAGAAGAAATAGAGAAAGCAAATGAAAAAAAAAAAGCTGAAAAAAGAGACCAAAGGGGAAGGGGAAATTATTCAATGGCAAAGTCAAGTTGACTTTAGTTTAAAATCACTTTAACTCTTATTTGACTGTTTTCTAGCATCCAGTCATGTCTGTTTGAAATAGGCGTCTCTTCCTAAAACTTAATACACCTTTTTACGACTAACTTTAATTAATGATCATTCATTCGTCACGATCTTTCTCTCATGTAAATTAGTTCTCAAAAACCCTTTTCGCAGACTCTAATAAATTTTATTGTATTGTACGGAGTAAACCAGCCTTGAACACGCAGTTTGACTGCATATTGCCGTTGTCTGATATTCCTGCCTCCTGAAAATGGTGACGTTTAGTTTGGATGACCGTTTGCTCGCTGCTTTCCTTTTCTATGGCTCTATTCTTCTGCTTAAAATGCTGTTGATGTCTTTTATCACTGCCTTTCACCGCATAAAGAACAAGGTTTGGAGTTTTTTTAAACAATTTTTCTGCTTCGTGACCTGATAGTCTTTAGGTTCATGATGGCGGGTAGTTTGCACTTAGGTTACGATTTACTTTGTACTTTATTGGTTCTTTGCGGTGACTTTTTAAAAATCTAGAAAAAGAGTAGCTTGTGCTCATCAAGAAGTAATAAAGGTTCGAACGGTTGACCGATCTTAATGCTTTCGCCACGGATACGAATAAATAAAATGCAAGTAGCACTTGTAACATCAACAACTTAATGGCCGTTTCAGTTAAGCTAAAGACGCATTATCCGTCTGGACTAACTTGAATAAATAATTTGTGGACGCGTCTGGTTATGCATCTTTAGAAAAACGAAGAGTCACAAGACTCGTTATGCGTTCAGACGAACCTTTCGAAGACTACTCTTGGGTCGTTTAAGTCTTTATACTTGAGAAGCAAGTTAATTAGCGTCCTCTACGGCCTATATGAGCTTGAGATGTCACTAGTGTGAATACAACTTGGAAATGAACGGCCCTGAATCATGATCAATCCAACAGAGAATCAGAGAGAATTGGAGAAAAATTTTTGTTAATACTTCATGGACCTTCGAGCTTCTCTCAATCGTTGCATTGACACGGAAACAAAAAGGACTGTACCGACGGGGGACTCATTTAGGGACTGAATGTGGACTGAAAAACGGCATACATATTTTTAAAATATATATCTTTATAGGGTAATTTTTCTGCATAGCCCCATACATGCAGCAATCCGCTTGACAATGGTCCGTTGTATTATGAATGCATAATAACTGTAGGAGGCTACGCGTACTCAGTGAAACTCTTGACAGTTTATAACGGTCTAAGAATTAAATGATTGAATGATGTGGAACTTCAAATTGTTTCAGACTTTTAGAAGTTTGTGCAGTAGTTTGCATTGTATCAGTTCCATGCACACAACTGTTTACTGGCATCTATTAAAATTGCCCTAAAAGAAACAAAGCTTATCGAGAGGGCTTTCTATTCACAGAATTTACATGCAGTGAGGTCCATCGACTCTGGTAATCTGTCTGCTTGATAAATGTGTAAACTAATTGCATCACTGATCACCATTTGCATATGTGCACAGGCATTTCCAAGTCCAGAGGATTATAGAGTCAAGAAAGATGGCGATAAGGACAAGAGCAAAGAAGTAATAATACGAAAAAATGATGATGTGGAGAGGGTTCGACGGTATGTTGAACTGTCATCAGGAATTTGGCATTTTATGGTCAGATTTGGTTGTTTTATTCTTAAAGGTTTATTCTTAAAGATTCTTGCGGAAATGGCTGGGTACCGCCCGGCTTATCTAATACCGGGATTACAGTGCGGTTTGTTTGCATAAATTACTATGCCTTGCCACGATTTGTTATGTCGTATTTCCATTTCTGTTGCTCACTGTTCGGATATCTTTATTTTCGAAATACTCCTCTCAGTGCAGACTTGAGCTGATGGATACTAAATGTATTCTGATGTTTACAGTCCTAACAGTTGAAAAGTAGTGTTATTGATATACTCACTGAAAAGCTATAACGTAAATTTTCATGCGCAAATGAGTTCTAGCCAATCAGAGGAGTGAACGATATTTCTCACTCGTGAAAAAAACGTTACTTCGAATCAGAATCGCGAACAATCGTAATGATACGTCCAATCAAAAGCCACAGAGGTGTGTGAGTTTCGCGCCAAAAATCCCGCCTTTTACAGGCGCTTGCAGCTTGCAGCGCCCTCGCTTTCTCGTTCGATTTCTGATACGTCAACAACTCGTGCGTAGTTACCGTACGTAGTCCACGTAAGCACTTTCCTTGAAGTATTCTATATTCAGGTTATGTTCACACCGATAGAGGATAGCCCTTCGTGTCGGCACGAAAGCTGTCCTCTATATAGTGTGAACGCCCCCGATATGTAACTCCCCTTTCATAGAGATCGGAGCGGCGCATCTTCGCTCCGTTATAGAAATTGCTCCGAAAATCAAATCATCGTTCTTGTGTGTGAACACAAGCTAGCCCCCTCGATGCGGTATGGTTTTCGTGCCGGCGCAAAAGTTATCCTGTTTAGTGTCAACGAAGCCTCAGGCCCCGTTCACTGAAGCACGTCGCATTTCACATGTACCGAATTTACTGCTAACGAGGAAAATCTCTTGTTCTTGCTCATGCGGTACATGTGAAATGCGACGTTTGAACTAAGATTCTTATGGTTTGCTTTATTATTTATTCATTTTTCAGAGCCCATCTAAATGACCTGGAGAACATCCCGATCTTTCTGATCATTGCCTTAATGTTCATGTTGGCCAACCTGTCTCCTACCCGCGGAATCTGGTGTCTGCGAATTTTTACAGCAGCGAGGATCCTTCACACCATAGTATATCTCAATGCCATCCTCATACCACGGGTCTTGTGCTTTGTAACCGGTTCAGTTTGTATTGTTGTCCTGGGTTTTAGTGTCCTTCTATCTGTTGCTCGTGCTGGTGTATCTTAATAGGTTGCAATAAATGAAGGTCAAGCACCACAGTTAAAGAAAACGGCCGATTCCTGTTTTCCGCCGATAATCATCGACTTTGCTAATGGAAACTCAGCTCTCAGATGAAATAAAATTCATGTTAAGTGTTCACCAATAGTCCACTCTCTTTAATCCGAGCCTGCCTTTTTAAACTCACTTTCATCCGAATTCCTTATATGCAACATGAAATAAAAAATTATAATTATTGAAGCATACGATTCCACATGTATCCGACAACGAAAAAAAATTCAGTTTTTCCACTCAGTGTCAGGTTATAAGGCAAGAGTATGCACACGCAACACCTGGCTTACGGGCTTCAATCCCCTCGTTATGGCCGTTAGACGCGGGGCTGATCGGAAGCTTTAGCTTCCCTTTGACACCTTTAGTATAGGCGGTTGGATAAAGTCAAGTAATTTAAAGGGACAGGTTCACGGTTCAGAGCATGCTCGCTAATCAAACTGCTGTTTTTCTGCCGGGACACGCTGTATCGTCTATGAAAGCAATATGATCATGCGATAATGTTGTTAAAGATCCAATCTGTACACTCCCCTGGCTGTCACTTGATCAACTTAGGTTCAAATGGCTGTAAATTGATCAACCATGGAATAAAACCTCCGGGTGAACAATAAATTCAACGTTGGTAGTGTTGGCATAATCCACTAATTTTTCTGTGATTTTAGTACTCCTCCATCCCACTTCAGGTTACTCTGAAATACACTCTGAGATCGCTGAGATACATGTGAGTGGGATTATTAACCGATAGAATTAAAAATAAATTGGAAAAAAGTAATTTAATTAATGAGCATGCGTTGAATCGTGATCCTGTCCCTTAAAATGAGGGTATGATCGTCGCAGTGATAATTGCAATTTAAGTAATTAGGTAGGTAGGTAGGTAGGTAGATTTTTTATTTAAAACTCGGTAAAATCTTCAGTAATAATAGAGTAAAAATCTAATCACAATTAATTAGACTAAAAACTATCGACATACTGTTTTACAAGACTGCCGAGTGAGAGTCCGACGACTCAAATACATGTTTGATTTGCTCTTTAAATTTCCTGACTGATTTAGTTTCTCTCACATTTTCGGGTAAAGAGTTCCACAACAAAGCACCGCTGTAACTGAAACTTCGTTTCAAGTAGTTAGTACGCGGCCTGGGCAACGTCAATTTATGAAAGGAATTGCGCAAATCATAGTCTGTGCTTCGTTCGTGAAATAGGTTCTGCAAGTACACTGGAGCTTGTTCATTTAGAGATTTAAACATCATTATTGCTTTATGCTTCTTTCTCCTTATAACTAATTTGTCCCATTTGAGTATATCAAGAAGCAGGCTCGAGCTAGTCCCATAGTTGGCCTTTAAAATTACTCTAGCTGCAGGGTTCTGTAACTTTTGTAATTTGTCACTCAGTTGATCACTTAAGCCATCCCAAACAAGGCTACAGTAATCAAAGTGAGGTTGAATTAAGGAGTTATAGACTAGTACCGCAGTAGATTGGGAGATAAGGGGCCTAATACGTCTAAGGGCACCTATAGCCGAAGTTACCTTCTTACACAATTCGTTAACATGATTAGACCAGGAAAGCCGATTGTCAATAATGAGACCTAATGATTTTGCGTGATCAACATTGCTGATAACTTGGTCTTCTAGTTTGATGTTTATTTCGTTATGGCTTTCCGCGAGAAGCTTCTGGCGAGAGCCAATAACCATAAACTCGGTTTTCGCAACATTAAGACTAAAGCTTATTGGCTTTTAGCCAACAGTGAAGGTTCAGTAGTTCTAAGTTAGTCTCTTGTTCAAGGTCAGCTAGAGAGGAACCAGAAATGGTAATAGTTGTATCATCTGCGAACATTTTAGCGCATGCTGAATTAAGGCAGTTTGGAAGATCGTTTATATAGATTAAGAAGAACAAAGGACCGAGAATACTACCCTGTGGGACTCCGCATCTTAGTTCGCTTGCACTGGACAATACGCCATTAACATAACATTTCTGGCTCCTGTTACCTAGGTAGGAGGCAAAGAATCGTAGGGAACCCAGATCAAGTCCATAGTTTGCAAGTTTATGTAACAAAATTGCATGGTCAATGGTGTCAAAAGCCTTTTTAAGGTCGATATATACCACACCATTTAAAAGGCCGTTATCTATGTTAATAGACCAGTTGTTCGTTGATTCAAGTAGCGCCGTCATGGTGCTATGGAGCGATCGAAAGCCGGATTGATAAGTATTCAAATGTTTGTTTTTATCTAGGTAATCGTAGAGTTGTTGATAGATAATTTTCTCGAATAGCTTTGAGACAATTGGCAATACAGAAATTGGTCTATAGTTATTCAGGTCAGATTTTGATCCTTTTTTAAAGATAGGAGTCACCTTGGCGATTTTCCATTCATCTGGAAAGGTTTCTGTTTCTATACAGCTATTAAAAATTTTCGTTAATGATGGTCCAATAATGGAACTGGCTAATTTCAGAAGTTTACAAGGAACTCCGTCCAATCCCATGGCTTTCTTTTCGTCAAGCTCACTTAGTAGTTCACACACAGTTGTGACACTAAGAGCCCTTAAGGAGAAGGCAAATTACAAATTAAAAGTTTTTTTCCGGACATTAACGGGATTCCAACCCATGGCCTCTACGTTAGCGCAGAAGTGCTCTATCTACTGAGCTATGAAGACCCACTCATTCGGAGCAGGTAAATTTTTGTCATTCCTTTCACGGGTTAAGATAAACTCAACAAATTGGCCTGCTCCCAATGTATGGGTCTTCATAGCTCTAACCTGAGATCAGGCCCAATTTTAGCGGTTCTCATACATTCTCTCTAAAGGCCAGCGCTTAAGCCATGCCCGCCGGAATGTAATTTTCAAAGCGAAACGAAAATAGAGCCTGATCTCAGGTTATCATAGCTCCGACTCCAGCTCCGTCGCTAGTAAAGTAGTATTGGGCAAGCGTCTGCTGTAGAGGGGTCTAAAATGGACAAGGTGGAGTTGAGGTAGAAGGAAAAAAAAAGAAAACAAAAACACCGTTGGAATGTACTTTTTATTAGTGTTTCAATTTGTACAAATTGCAGGACACATATTACTTGGCCTTCTTTGCCTTGATCTTACGGACATAAAACTCAAGTTCTTTGCCTTCAAGAATATAACCATCACAGCGTCCGCTCTGGCCAGGTCTTGAGGATACACAAGCTGGCAACAAAAAGAGAAAGGCGAATTACAGTCAAACCTCTTTAATACGGACACCAAAGGGACAGAACGAAGAAGTGTCCGCTTTACAGAGTTGTCCGTATTATAGAGGTAGGGAATGTATGATTTTTGGCATTTCTGGGACCAAACGAATATAGTGTATAGTGGCTGGAATATTTTAGACTACAAGGACCAAAAGAGACAAGAGGAAATTTCTCACCATAGAGTCTTCCAGTGGTAAACTGGTCCTCAATCTGTTGGGGGAGCTTGGCAGTTGCTTTGCGAGCATCCATTTTGCGCTGGCAGTGATTTGATCGCTTCTTGCTCAGCACATCGCTTTCCTCAGTTTCCACCTAAATAACCTTTGTGTCAGTATGTATTTATAAATTCTCCATCATATTTGAGTCTAGTTTTGTTCTGCATCTGTTGAACAGTAAAGGTTATTCTCATGCATTTAAACATAAATGATGCTAAACAAAACTTCAAAATATATGAGCCTGCCTCTTCAGTTATACAAAATGGGCCCTTCGCATAAAAAAGTCACATGGCACAAAAAAAAATAAAACCTTGTAGGATGGCAAACGATGTAGAGGTGCAAGAAAAACAAAGAGATAACACCATTCAAAAAGCTAATATCCTTTCTTTTCAAGTTTCACTGACAAAACAAAAGCTGAAAGATTTGGGCAGAAGAACGTTGTCTAATAAAAAATTTTTGCTTTCTACGAAACATTGCTACCAATATTCAACTATTGTACTTCAAGAACTTGTTGTTTTCTGATTGGCCAGTGATTTTGCTACAAATACATGTAGTTATGTTGAGTCCTGGGACTCATCTCGTGAAAAATCATGAGTCCCTGTCCATAACCAAGGAGTCCTGAATTGGAAATGCTTGGGCGTTTATGTAACCAGACAGTTAATCTGAAGACAGATGCCAAAACTCTTTATTACAGTTTACTGAAATTAAAATATAGCCCTTCTATATATTTAAAGCACAAAAAAGACAAAAATAAATATGCATCCTTCAACAACAGCCACAGAAATTTCATGAACAGGGTATTCTACCAAAAAATCTTCAAATCGATCGATCGTTCTTTGTGTCCTACAGGACGCATTTCATGAATTATTTCGTGTCTTTGGGGATTCTTATGTGTCTGGGATGCAGGATATAGAGGTAACAAAATCATTGTTGGCTTAAAAAACTTCCCCCTTTTCCTGTAATCTAATTGGTCACCCTTGTCTAAGTGGCCCAGTTACAGTTTCGTATGTCCAGGTTATTCAAACTTGCTCCTATGAAAACAACTGACCCATATTTATAGGTAGCACTTACTGATTTAGCAGTCTTCTTGCGACCTAGAGGCAGCCCATAATGAGCCTCATACCTGTTAAAGCAAAAGAAAATAATTAGGGAAAGTTCATTTAATATGTCAAGGGGGGGGGGATGAAGATATTGAGGGGGGGCTCCGAAAATTTTTAGACACCCGAAGGGGGGGGCTCTGAAAAATTGTTGCGCTTAGGAGGGGGGGCTCAGAAAATTTGTATACTTCAAAACCAACACATGACATCATCATACAGATCGGATGGTTTTCAACTCAACAATTTAATGACCTGTGCAACTCAGTTATATCACGTGGTTTACAGATATAACAAATGTAGTCTCAGTAATTATTACACTGTTGTTCATCCCAAAAATGCTTTAGAAAATTGTATCACAACTGTATCTCAAGTTTGTCATAGTATAAACCATTGGAGACAATAACGGTAAATATATTTAATACAATCTAGCGATCTTTTGTCAGGGAAGCAAAGGAGGAGGGGGGGCTGAAATTTTTTTCGACTACCAAGGAGGGGCTCCTAAAAAATTGAACTGCTAGCGAGGGGGGCTGCTAAAATTTCAAGCTTCGAGTTTCAATATCTTCATCCCCCCCCTTGTCATATTAAATGAACTTTCCCTTATGACAACATCATCTCCTCCTATAAGAAATAAGGGAAAGATAACATGCTATGCACCACTGCAAGATAAAAAGAAAGTCAGACAAACAGCACTGGAGTAAATTTACATTTTATAGACTGCATAAATTTTCACTTCAGATCGATTCTTGGCTACACTGCAGATCATTAATTTTAATTTTTACGAGGACAACATTTTCTGAGATTTCTTGAAACAGTCCTGGGCCAAGTTATTCGAAGCCGGGTTAATGTAACCCACGGTTAGTGTGAAATTTGAATTCAGATAATTATGAGAGCTTAAAAAGGAAATTCAGGTTAATTCTTCTTGTCTACCATTTGATGATGGAACACTCTAAAAAGAATAGAGGAAATTATCTGAGAAAGTGCTATTGATAAAGAGAAAGACACCTGGGTCCTGTTGTTTGAAAGCGGGTTAAATTGGCTTAATCCGAGGATGCATTTTAATCACACATTTGTTGCGTTGTTCGAACACCAGTAGCTCAAACCTTGGGTTAAATTTCACCCTGCTAGCTAGGTGGGTTAAATAACTAACCTTAGGTTAAATGATAATAAAATTAATGTCAAAACAAAATGGCTGACTTGTTGACATGGTTTACTGACCATTAAAACGACAACAGGAAAGACTCACAGATAGTTCAGACAAATAATAGAAATTAAAAATTTTACAAATGAAGAACTAACAGCTTGCTACAGGTTTGGAAGCAGGTCAATCCTTCTCCAGTTCTTTTTGTTTTTTTTTCGAAAGTTTGTGAATTCAGTAAACATTGCACAAGAAATCAAGATTATTCCATTTCCCTCGGACTTTGCCACTTATCTCTTCTCCACTCCTAAAGCATTGTGTCACTGTTATTGATGTCCAGTTTTCTTCGTTTTTGGTTTGTCACACCGATTGTGAAACGTGCAAGTTTTTTTCACATTCTCGGTTAAAGTAGCAATTTCTGAGGTGCTGAAATTATTTTTCTGGGATCCTCCACTGATACCGTTTTAGGACATAAACAAACAAGGAGGTATTATGGGAAGCTAACCACGAGTTAGTCGCGGTAAACTCGAGGCTAACTAACTGGTGTTCCAACCGCGCTTCGAACAACGCAATTTTAAGCCCTAGTTAACAAACCTGTGGTTAAGAAAGGGGGTGTTTACATGAGAGATCTCGCACCGGCGCAAGCTTTGTACCGGGAAGATTTTTTGATTTCGTATCGCATTTACATGATGACTGGGTCATTTCATATCTCGTTATTTGAAGGTACACTTCATGTTGATAAAATACATGTGTGATTAAAAAATCGCAAACGTTATGCATGCGCTACCTGTTCCAGTCTACCGGGAGACCGATTTCACACCAAAACGTGCGGTCGTTTCACGTTTACGTGATACCGTTGTGAGATTTTGTACCGGAGTCAAATTCTTGTCCCAGTACAACAACTGGGGTGAACTCACGCCGGGGTGACTCACGCCGGCATGACATTTTGTGGTGGTATCATGTAAACATATCTAGAGCCATGAGAGGGAACCAGAGTAAACTCGCTCCGGTGCGATAGTTGCCCCAGTGTCATATAAACACCCCCAAATTCAACCTCTTGTTACACCTATCCCGAGGTTAATTTAACCCGTCTTTTGAACAACCCGGCCCCGGGTTTAAATTTAACACTGGGTTAGTTCTAATAGGCCTTTGCACAACTGGGCCCTTGCCCTAATTTGCTTCAATGACACGTTTAGAAGTTTTTTGTTTTCTGAAACTTACCATTGCCTAAAGGGAGTGGAATCTACTTGAACAACGCAGTTCTTTACAAGAGTCTTAGTTCGCACCAGCTCATTGTTGCTTGCATTGTACACCACATCAATGATACGGGTCTTGCGGGTCACGCCTATACATGAGGATAACAAACAAAAAAACAAACAATGACACGTAGGCTAGCCTGTCAGGTTAAGAGTTAATAAGAATTCCTTTGGCACCTTTGTCATAAGGTATACCACTCTGGGTAATGAGGACAATCTGATGCATCCCTCTCATGAAAATACATGTTATTGAACAGTACTAATCACAATGAGAAAAGTTTTCCAACTATCATCTCAAACAAGCACAGAAAGGGATAATCATTCTCTGCAAATCTGCTATTTTAACTTTTATACATGTACTTTAGCTTGGGCACCCATGCCAAAATTAGTCTACAACTGGATGGACAATGCAAGTTCTAAACTAGGATAGTTAAACAAGGTATACATAAAAATCTACTCTGCTGATATTGTACTTACATTTTACAGCTAAAAGAAAAGCAATTTGTTGTGGAAAAGTACTATTTGGAGAGGAGGGCAATCAGTGTAACTATGACAAATATGGTCACAAGAGTGATGTAATTGCCAAAACAGCAACACACTCTTCCACCAAATAGTTTCATCATGTTGCCCTTGGAAGCTTACGTTTGGCAATATGTTGGGAACACAAAAAATACAATTTTCTCAAGGGGTTGGTAAAGGTACAACAACAGACAACTTAACTTGGTGATCACTTTATTACTTCTCATAAACTTTTCTCTGATGATGTACGGATATTGTTAAGAGAATATTGAAGTTGATCACTCTACGTGGTTAAAGGGTTAAAATCTACGTGACAGCCTTGTAAATGAATATACAGTGAAACCTCTATTAAGCGGACCCCCAATTAAGCGGACACGCTCTGTTAAGCAGACACTAAGCCAGGTCCCGAAATTAACATCTTATAATTCCCTTTATAAAGAACCCCTATTCAGCAGCCACCTCTATTAAGCGGACATGGACACTAAAATAAGGTGTATTTGGCTATTTCTATTGTTAAAAACCTCTATTAAGCGGACACTGGACTGAATTGACAATAGTAGTATTGGATTATGTTCTTGAAGTCAGTTAATGTTTTTGCCTTTACAAACAAATTAAAGTTGGTAATGAAAGGTAATGAACCTGAACTCTGGATAGCTTCTTTAACAACACGCAACTTTATCAGAGTACAGAGTAACCATTGATTGTTGATCGCTTACAAACATTGCACAATTTTTACAACCTCTATTAAGTGGACACTTAGAAAGGTCCTGAAGGTGTCTGCTTAATAGAGGTTTCACTGTAATATAAATCAGCACATACTTTCAGAGCCCCAAGAGTAGTTGCCAGTATCCAGTCTCAGTGCTCGGAACTTTTGGTTTCCTCCACGGGTGCGTACATTGTGAATACGCTTACTTCCAAGCTGCAAGCAAACACCAACACAGCCTAATTCAACACATGAATGCTAGGATAGTTTCTTCACTTACTGTGTGAATAAATTCCAGACAGAAGGGAATTTTACTGCTTACATGTCTCAGGACACGTTCACCTCTATAATCATTGGCCTTTGAAAACAAGTTAATTTGCTGAGTCTAAGCCGAAGAACAATAAAAAATTTCAACAGGCAAAGGTGACAGCTATACACGTATGTTGCCAATGAATCCACCCTTAATATGTAATCAGCAATCATTCCAGAAAAAGAAATCTCACAAAAAAGAGAGTCTTTTCTTTTTCCACCCTACCTTAGTATTTGCTGGTGGTCGGCCAAGCTCATACTTTCTCTTTTTTCTAATTGCTGTTTTCTTACCACCAGTGTTTCGCCTCTTATGCCAAGAATCACGGGAAATTCCTAAAATATAAAGACGAGCATACAGTATCAATGCAATCATACTCTTTTAAGCAACATGATATTACTACAATGACCTAAAATGTCACAATTGTCAAGGGAATGTAAACTAAATCAGGTTTTGTTCTACTGCAACTATTTCAAGGTTCCCTGCAACCTCTCAGTTGAAGCATACTCATGTCTGAGTGTAATAACTCGTACCTCCTTGACATACATGCAAGCCGTTTGCACAATAAGATACCATATTTATTTGATTAACCGCCCTGGGTTCTAATTAAATTTTTGGACCTTGAGAGTGGGCGCTTATTCGAGGCTGGGCGCTTATGAAATTTTCACCATTTTCAGCAAGTGAAGTATGTTTATTTTGCAACAAAACAACAAATGCTAATAACAAAACGCGAAGAAGTAATAAAGCAAGGTTTCTGTAAAATACTCTGAAGAAAACTCCATCCTCAGGAAAGTCTTATGGTCAAGTCCTGTTAACTGTGTGTCCAGCAGACTTGGAAGAACAGATAATTGTTTAAAGATGCTTAACAAGAAGAAAAAAATTGTGTTTCGGTCTTCAATGCATTTGTCACCAGTCAACAAAACACTTACAGTTCTTTGAGTTAATGCGAGTGATGATCAGATTAAAGGCCGATATGCTAGAAATATATAAATCTGAGCCGAAAACTTGGGAATTCTTTTACTGCTTATTCTGGAAAAAATAGCACGTGAATTAAGAAATCGCATAATAACAACAAGACAAACTAAATGCTCATATCATACATTTCCAAGTACTGCATAGCAAAATAGCGACAGATAATCAGTTTTAGCCTTGAACGTTATTATGCGACAAAAGACATCTCAGAAAAATATCAACATTTGGCATGCAGGCACCCCGACAATAACTGAAATGGCGACAATATGAGAAATGTATCTCATGCACACTACATCCCAGATATTCAACACAGAGCCACAGGTCTGAGCTGAAAATCAAGTTACAACTTCTTTGGTGTTTATTCTATACAACGGTTTTAACTTCAACGCTTGATGTTGTTGATTTCACCAAGATTGGATGGATTGAAATCAACGACTTCATACTTTACTCACCCATCTTGGACGGACAGGACAGAAGAGGACGAGCGAATGCAAAGAACTCTGGGAGATCGAGTGGACAAAAAAACCAAAGCGGGGTGAGGGATGGGTAAGGATTGTTTTGTTGAGCTAATTTATAGCGCTGTTTGTTTCATTTTTCATTTACCAAAGACTGAACTTTTTTTGGTTAAAAATATTTTATTTAGGAGAAAACAATGGCAAAAAGATGAACAAAATAAGTAAATAAATTAAGCAAATAAAACAAAAACATGGAAGTAGGGGAGAATGGAGGGGAATAAGGGGCCCTCAGTTCCAGTACCTCACGTTCTATGCTTCTGCAGGAGGCGCCATATTTACGAGCGATGGCTTCCGTCACAGGTTTTGCAGAGACTTCATAACCCTGTCATTATAATTCTTGACCCTCCAGATTCTTAATAACTTTGCTAGACAACTATTCGGTAAAATGGAGGAGCTCAAGAAGAAAACCGAGGCAATGTTGAGGGCAGTTCTAATTAGCAGCCCTCGTGGAGTGCCTCTACGCCGTTTGAACAAGGAGTACAGTAGCATTACTTATTCGTCAATTCCTCACCCAGAGTTGGGCTTTCCTACGCTGGACTCTTACATTAAAAGCATCCCTCATGTAGCTGCACTAACAAGGGACGTGGATGGAGAATTTATTGTAAAGGGAGTCGCTAGTGAATCTGACCAACACGTTGCAAAATTGATCGCAAAACAGAGGAAACCGAAAAAGCGTTCAAAGGGTGCAGCTAACCCTTCTAGAAGGCCTCAGTCAAGAAGGCCTACTATTAATAGACCATTAGCTTTAAATAGAGCTATAGGTGCTACAAGCTACAGACCAGTCACTGTTTCCAGTTTGACTTACCGTGCAGCTGCAAGACATGTGGCACGAGCTGTTGCTAAATCAGTAACACCGGTGCCTGCAAATACAAATACTTTGATTCAGAGGCCTATGGCATCTGCTGCAGCACCTCGGAGTAGTGTTACACCTCGGTTTGTTCCCCCAAGGATGATGAAGCAGGCTGTAAATAAGGCTGTCTCTCAGCCCGTCAATAAAACTTCACCTCCGCGCGGATTCCCAGGAAAGGGACAAGAGAATCTCCAAGGTATGAAATACTTGGATCTTGATCTGTGTGCACATCATCCAGGGTAATTTTACAAATGAGACGATCCAAACGTAACCACAACGCAACCCGGGGGAGTTATTTGGGTTAATTTTTTCTGGGTATGTGCCGCTGGCCTGTCAGTGCCCCTACGCCATTATAGTCTATTTTGTGGCCAATTGAAGACCCCATCTTAGTCACTTTTGGGCAAATATGTAATTTTTGCGATGCCAACTTAGTCACTTTCTGTTTATGTATCTACCTTATCAAGCCAGTCATCTTAAAATGAATTGACCCATTTTTTAATAAATTGAATGAAGAACACTTTACTTTTCACCTACACTACAAAATTAATATTCTGGTACGATTGCTAACCGTAAATATGAACTTTCTTTCCCCAAAAATCCAAAAATGTGCAATCCCATTCTAGTAACTCTATTGAAAATGCAACCCCATTATAGTCAATCCAGTCGTGAAAATGTGACCCCATCCAGCGGCACATCCCCATTAGCCTCTTACAGGCTGTATGAGGAAGTGCCCGCCCCACCCCCCTGGGCAACGCAACCAAGGGATCTGGAGTAAATTTAAAGTAGAGGGAAAAAATTATTTAAGGAGGCGACATTAGATTAGATTAAAGTCTGCTCATGTGTGGGGTTAGGTGTACAGTAAGTAAGTAAGTAAGTAAAGACTTTATCTTATGAGGGTTAGCACGAAATAGCCGGGGCTAATAAACTTGTGGCCCTCTAAATAATAAATAATAAAATAATAAATGAGTATACTAAGCTATGAAAAAATACAAGATTAAAACCAATTAAGAATACAGATACTATAGAATCTACTAAATTATTTAAAAGATAAAATATAGCGTTATAATCATCTCACAGTTCATCAAGTAACTTAAATAGAAAAATGATCAAGATTCTGCTGTTGTTTATAAAATTCATTCCACAATGCTTTTTTTAAAGAGTCAACTGAGTCCCTTTGCCTTACAGGCAAAGATAAGCTGTTCCACGCTTTGCAAGGGGGAGATCATCCCCCTTCTACCAGAGAAGCCAGGGAGACTTCTTAAGCCTAGTTCAAACGTTGCACTTTTCATGTACTGAACTTACTTGTAATTCCTATTTAGGTCGACCAGATTCAGTCATCAAACTTAATCAGTCGGACTCAATTTTCATGATGTACAATAGTCTACGATGCTTACCACTGAAAATAAATTATAGTAATTTGTGGATTAGGTTTGGCACTTGAGAAGTTTGATGTTTGAAACAAAGTCGCTCAACAGTCAAAATTCCTGTGTAGGCCACCCTATCTTAATTCATGGGTTGACCCAAATTAGATATGGAGGAATTAAACGATTTATATGTTGATCTCTTCATGTACTTAATTGAAGGGATGGGGTTCGACATTTGAACTGGGCCTTTGGGAAAATTGAATTTTTGGGGCCCTAAAAAGTACAAATGGGTTTCATTTTATTAACCCTTTAAGTCTTAAGAGCGACTAATACCAATTTTCTCCTAACAATATCAGCGTATAATCAATTAGAAAGGCTACAGGATGATTAAAATGATCAGTGAAGGATTCTCTCAACCAATTTTTCAAAGGAATGTATGGGAGTCAGTGTGGAGAATTTGTATATTGATCAATAGAAGAATTTTAGCTCTAAGGATGGCCTCTTTATTTACCCATTGAGTTTATGGGAGGAGTTTAAAATAATCACATGCAATTAATGCATTAGGTTTAAAACATGTGAAGATCACTGCACATAAAGGAATCAATAGTTGCTGCAGTGTAAGATGACAAAATGGCCCCCTACTAAATGTCTTGTGCTCCTTGAAGAATTTATCAATAATTATTATTAAACCATTGACAATAGATGGGAGTGGAGAAGGTGCCTGGTGAAACTGAAGGGAGCTGCAAAAGCCCTGTAAAATTGCTAAAGCCCTGCTAAAGCCCAAGACCTCCTCACATGTTTAGCCACATTTAGTGCGTACATTTAGCCACATTTTAATAATGAATAATAAAGTTATTTTATTAATCATCAGAGGTATGTCTAATCAGTAGGTAGCAGTGAGTCGCATGCACACCTCTGAAGACCCAATACAGAATAATTATCTGGGTCTATGAGTGATTAAACAGTAGAATTAACGCACCTAGCTCATAAAAATTTCGTGACAGTGGAAATCCACTAGATTTACAGCTGTACCTACATGTAAGTGTAAACTGCCAGTTATAACCAAACTGATTTTATTGTTGTTCCTCTGATGTTAGTTAGGTCGTCATGTGGTGGGGTGTTTGAATCAGGTATAAATAGACAAAAATAGTATGTGACGCACAAGAAGATTAATTTGAAGCTGTTCTAGAGCCAGAAGGGATGAGTGGGTAGCACTAAATGTTGGTGACACTGCAAACATCTTGGCTTCACACTCTGCTTCTTGTATTTTAGAAGAACTGTCTTCAAAGAAATTTAAGAAAAAGAAGCCCAAGAGCTCAGGTACATTTAGCTTGCTCTAGGCATTTATAAAGTGGGGCAAACAGAGTCGCACAGAAAGTAAAATTTATGAGTGTTGATGTAAAAGGACGTGCAAAAATTGATTGCTTCCTTTTTTCCACTCACAATGCTTTCTCTGTGTAACTCCCTGCTATTATAAATGCCTGTAGTGGGCTAAAGTACTCTATTATTGTCAATTAAAGAATATACGCTTTGGAACGAACAGGTTATGGGAGTGCAAAGTTTTTACAAGCTCTAAAGGCAAAAGCTCTAAAGGCAGGCTGTAACTCTATCTAGGGGTGTACCAACGATTGATTTAGGCGAGTGGGAAAACTTAAGGCTGGTATGCATAGCATCACTATTTCTCCTGTTATCATAGGGATCAGCGCAAAGCCAGTTCAAACAACCATGGTTACTAGGAACACCACAGTCATTGAAGAGTTTTTCCCCTAAAACTGCTGCGTGCAGCTGCTGGACTTTTTTTTTCAGTATTCATAATATCCATAGAGAGGATAGGGAAGCCAACCTTTACATTCAGGTTATAGATCAGTAGTTTGTACCTTGTGATTCTAGAAAACATCAAAATATTTTGATTTCCAAGAAAGTTATGCTTTGATGAGTCCTTTTTTTTATTATTTGTATCATTTTTCCATTTTTCAGCTCATTCATGTCTTTAATGTCTTTAGGAGGTGGACCAAACTGGCAACAAATGGAAGTGACATTCACGGCTGATGATGAGGAGCCTAGACGTGTTATTTCTCTGTCTGATTCATCGGCATCAGAGGAAAAAGACCCAGTGGATCTGTTTGACTCACTAAATAATGAAGGTAAAAGGGAAACTTATATACACAGTCATTGTTAATTACTTCAGTTAACTAACACACTGTGTCAGAATAATTCTGACACAGTGTGTTAGTACAATTATTGGTTACTACAATTATTGTAGTATAAAGATTGATCAGAGGGCATTTAAAAATATTCTTAATGACCATCATTGAAAACACCACTGGATATTAGGGAGCTTAAACAAAGGCGTTTTTGAGCAACGCACGTCAACCGGAAGTGAGATCTTTTTCATTTTAAAGCACCTTGATGCTACCAAATTTGCATTTCTAAGTGTTTTTACTATTATAGAGATGATTTGTCCAAAATTTGGGCAAAACTGCCATCAAAAATGAAAAAAAGACCACTTCCGGTTGACATGCGTTGCTCAAAAACGTCTTTGCTTAAGCTTACTATTATTAACTGCTCCTCTAGGATATGGAGATATTTGGGGAGTTAACTTTAGTATAGGGTAGCAAGATTCAGATGAACTAGGTCTTGGTTCCCAGCTGCACATCCCCACCCAAAAATTCCTAATGTTCTCTGTCACTCATGACCTACATGTATATGCAATTGGAGTTAAAAGCAGAAGACTGAGACAGGAAATGCAGGTAAGGAAAAGCTAAGCAGGCTTTTTGATCAGTTAAGCTGACTTTTCTCTCAACTGCACCTTCATTAAACTCATCGCCAACTGATGAGCTTGGGAACTGATGCCTAAAAGGTAAGTGGGGAGGCCAACTGCGAAAAATATGGCAAGGAGGTAACGAGGCAACCCTGGAAGCGGGAACCACCCCTGCCAGCAGCCTCTAACTAGCACTGTCATACTGAGAGAATACTCAGTGGAAATAATACTTACCCAAGTGAAATACTTACCTGCACACCCACACATGACAGCAGGGAGGGAGGAGGGGGAGCAAGAATCCGCCAAGATTCGCCAGCACAAAGCAAAAAGGTGATCCGCAATTATCAGCTAGAATAGCTTGCAAAATAATGCAAAAGGATAGCGGCCCTGAAAAACCCAAGTGGGCCACCCCGCATGTCACGCATGCTAATACGGGAACACTGCTGACTGCATTAGCTCGAGGTCAACTTAGCCTAAATAATAGCCACATAAACTACCCCATGTTTTCTTTTTCCAGAGCAATTTGAGCCAATGGTAACCCTTATGAAACGTGTTTTCTTGTTATAAGAGCGGCTATCTGTGGCAAAAGCTTTTGTGGCAATTCAACAGTGGTTCAAGTTATTTATGCTTAAGAAAGCTGTGAACTATCAGATCAACCAAAGCTACATTAGCGTAACCTGTCAGTTACTACTTGGAAGGCATTTTGAAGTCTGCATCTGCACTGGAAAACAGCAGCCAAGAGCTTCAATGGCTTTAACTTGATGGAAGCTGCTGTTTGCTTTTAAAACACTGCTAAACAGCTGTAATTGAGCTGTACAGCCATTTCCAAGCATTTTTTGTGGCGCTGTACAGCGCTGCAAGTTTCGTATGGGAGGGTCCTTTTCAGCCGGTGAAATCAGCCAGCAGCCGGCTCTTAGGAACATCCCTGCTGAATTCGATATATGTCGTATCCACTTAGAAGGGTATCATGAACCAGTTTTTGCATCTTCAACAGGTTTATTCGGTATACTGCAATCTTCTCTGTACACTCTTGAAACACTGACGACTCCAAGGGAGAGAGTTAAAAAAAACCTGGTTACATTTTCTGCTCTATCTTGATGGTTCCTAGTTTATTGCCGCTTGATCATTTATAAGCCTAAAAAATGTCCTCGTGGGAGCTAATCAACATTATGTAATAATCGCTATTTTAACATGTCCACGCAGTACAATCTAGCTTTGGGCGGAATGGAAAACACCTGCAAGGGAATAATAAACCGGTCACAAATATACCTGGTATTAAGTCCCAATGGTGACCAACATCAATATTCTCCTAATAATATCCATACATTGTTGAAATATTTGGTTATGAGAATTAATAAAATGATCACGTAAGAGAAAATACCTTGATCTTTTATCAAATTCTCTCAACTCATTCTTTAAGGAAATGCATGGAGACCAGTTCGGAGAATTTGTATGTGGATATTGGGGCTTAAAGGGTTAAGCAGTAAGATTGGTAGCTTGGGACTTACTAGATAATTATCAGCAAGTAATGACTAGAACAGGCAACTCTGCTTACAGCTCCAACTCTTTGATTTTCTTATAATGTTCTGCACCTCTGGGTTACTCCAAACTCTATCACAAGTGAAAACTCGTCTTAAGGGAAAACAAATCTGAGATTGTTCTTAGACTAGAATCTGGATTTTTGGAGCTAAGAAATAAACAAAGTGGGTGGTTTTTTAAGTCACAAAGCTAGGCCAGTTAAAGACTGAAATATTACCATGTTGAAAAATATTGGAGTTTGTTATTTAGGACAGCCATTTTGCCAAAGAGGATTGTGAATAATGTTTTATTTCTGTTCTTTGTAGACTTGGAAATTTTTTCCAGAATTAAAAATGTAAGTTATTTTCTTGTTTGTGTTTTGCATATTATTTCTTTTAGCTTTCAGTATATGAAATAGTCCATTTTACAGTTGTGGACTTAGTAGCCTAGCCTTCAAGTGAATGTGAGGCTGATGGTGACCTTGTTTTGATACAAACCTCTTTTTCTTGGGATTTGTTATGGAAATTGCCCTTGAAAAATGCTAGTTAGCACAAGAAAAACTTGATTTACATAATAAAGCAAGAAGTTTTGTATCAAAACAAGGTCAACTCCAGCCTTGCTTCCATCCATAACTATAAAATGGCCCATTCAACCTCTGAAAAAAGGACCTGAGCCCGTGATCAATTGAAAACCAAAAACTGGTCAGCAGACAACTTTAAAAAATGTGTCACCTCAGTGAGTTGTATAACTCAGCCTGTGATACAGTCATGTGACACTGGTCAGCAGATGCTCATTTTGGACAGAAGCTGTCAATTGACCATAACAAGGATTTCCAATACCAAGGTAAACACAAAAGTATATGCCTTGGACCCCTCACCAGTAAATGTGTCATTTCACATCCTATAACATGGTGCTCCGCTGAGCTCCGCTATCAAGCCTTAACGGCAATTCAAACTCTTCAGTAAAGTTGATTCTTGATTTCATCTTCTCTCCACTGACCCCTTATGAAACATTAATGTGATTGGTGAGGAGAATTATTATTTTTATCTTTGAATTTTATGTGTAATTAAAGAGTTAACACAAGGCATTCTATTTTGTTTAGTTATTAGAAAAAAAGCCCAAGGGAATGTGGTTAAAACGTATAGGCGCTGAGTATAAGAAATTGTATAATCAAGAAATATCCAGTGCGAAGCTAGAGACACTGAGGAAATTACCAACTATAGCAAGATGTGAAGAGTAAGTGATGCAGCACGAACATCTGTTGTGGGTATCATATCAGTAACAAGACCCTGTGGGAGCATTATTTGGGCGTTGATGTCCTAGGCGTGTGTGAATTTTTTTATGTGTGTTAGGGATGTGTGAGTTGTGCAGTAGTTGTGTTAATTTTATGGGTTGGTTGAGATGTTTGAAGTGGTAGGGGTGGAGTTATATTGGATGTAGATTGGTAAGATAATGGCTGTAGGTTGTTAATCATCATGCAGTAAAACTGGTTTAGGTGTTGCAGTAAGGTAGTTGTGGGAGTGCTAATTTGGTTATGAAGGGATAGTGTAGATACCGTCTGTTGAAGTGAATTGGTGGTGGTGAAAGATCTCATCAATAGCCCCAAACATACCTGTACCAGTACTTGTTTTACACATTGTTAGGCTTTCTGTTAAGGATTGCTTTTTGTTTTTTGTTTTATTGTTTACAAATTCTATGGAGATAACATGGATAAGGGAAAGTTCATTTAACCCTTTAAGTCCCAATAGTGACCAAAATCAATTTTCTTCTAACGATATCCATACATTGTCAAGAGATTAGGTTATGAGAATAGATAAAGTTATCACCAAAGGGAAAATGCTTTGATCTTTTATCAAATTCTCGCAACTCATTCTGTAAGGAAATGTATAGAGATCAGTTTGGAGAATTTGTATGTGGATATTGGGGCTTAAAGGGTTAATATAGAGAAGAGCAATGTTAGAAGGGGGAGGAGGGCTGACATTTTGTGTGTCTTCACACACCCTGAGGTTCTCCTGCCAAATATTTTTCCATAGCTGATCATGAATAAATTACTGATTGTAGCACAAAATTGTAGGAAGACTAAGATGTCATTGGCTGAAATTGTTCATGATGAATCTCAGCCTTGTCTGAATTATCTGTAGCCAGTGCAGTATTATCTTTGTTGTTAACAGTTCTGTTAATCATTGGTAATTCAAGTCAATGTCTTTGATTTTGTTCCCATCTCAGATTTGCTGGGGGCATTATCATAGTTTATCCACCAAAACTGGTAAGTTCAAAATCATGTTATTTTGGCACCTTTGTGTGAGTGTGTATATGACATGCATAGTCTTGCAGGGGTTTCTTTAAAATTTTGAACAGAAGGGCAACTGAGTTTGAAACCCGGGCAAAGAATTGGCAAGGCCCTCCGGGCAGGGGGATCTGGGGGCATGCTTGCCCGGAAAATTTTGAAATTCTATAGTCACAGCGATGTGTTTCCTGCATAATTTCTGAAGCTGCAGACAATGTCTTTCATCTACCAAAAAAAGATAACTTTTCTAGATAATTTAAAGGGACTGGTTCACGATAATGCGCATGTGTGAGTTCTGACAGTAGCTGATTGTTGTTCAACCAATCGGAAGCGAGTCAGATGCACACAAGTAAATTTACAAAATTCAAATTCATCATTCGCGACGCAAGAGTATTTCCGGGCATTTGGTTTGATTTTATATTTATCCCCATAATTCAAGTTTATTCTTTGCTACTTCTCAGATATATGTTGCAGCTGATAAGAATAAGATTTACAGCCCTGTCCTGCTTTAAAACAAACAATTACCAACCTCTAACGAGGTCATACCCACGCTAAGAAAACAGTCATTGATCAGCAAACAAAATTATTTTGTAAACAAACATTTTGTTACTGTTCTCTCAGTTCGCCTTATATAGACCCATTAATACCTACAAAAAGCGCCTGACCGGTGACAAAAACACGCAACGTATGAGTATAAAGATTATCCTTAATTGAGCATAAACTTCAATGGCTTATCAGCAAATGAACACATTCATTCCCGTTGCATCGGGTCAGTATTCCGCAAAACAAATGTCCTGAAATGTTATCAAGTAGAACACATAAAGAAACTAGATTATAAACAGAATATTCAGGCAATAATTTATTTTAAAAACATCAATTCTTAAACATATACGGTCGCAAAGCAAATTGCAAGGAACATTTCAAGTGTACCAGATCGATGAAGATCGCGCGGCCTGTTGCAGTACAACTATAGGTCGGAGTCAAAAATCAAATCAAAGTTGAATGAAGTCGTGCCTTTAACCACTTTCCAAGAGTCATGTATTCTTTTCGTAAGCCACACACTACTCCTAGAACCATACCAGATTGATCGGCTAAGCTTCTCTATCTCCAAAGACTCTTGAGAACGTCCTGTTGCAGGACAGCCACAATGCTCTTTTGAACCTCCATGATCAAAACATTATTTTTTGCGTCTTCTTAAAACGTAACCGGTCAAACAACACAACCACACGTTGATCACCACTACCAAAGTATAACTAGGCCAGCCAAAGCGATGGATGTCGGAATAAAACGAAAGATTTTCAATGATTGCACCAGTAATGGCGATTTTGAATTTAGTGTTGACCCAACAAATTTATTCTGAAGAGACAAACGGCGCTCATGCGCATAACTGTGATCGTGACCCTTTAATCAGTTGACAGGGAACAGTTCTTTTCATAATGCATTATGGGGCGATTCTTGTTTTAAACACATAACAAACAAGGGGATTTCATGCTGCCTGTGATAAAGTGGAAATTTGACAGTAAAGTATGTTTTACGTTTGAGAAGACTCATAAACGATGAAGGGCACGATTGTAACTTAACACTGTTTTTGATCATTCCTTGTATTAAAAAAGGTTCTTTGAGATGTTAAGCAGCAGGGCAAAGTCGCGTTCACAGGCAGCCAATTTGCCCGGTGCCCGGCCCTCAATGAAACCCCTGGTCTTGGCATTACTTTTGGAATCATGTTCAACTTACTCTTTTCCGGGTATGGTTTGTGAGCATCATTGTAAAGTAATTTATTGGTGCTAAACCTTAGTAATAGCTTTGCTATTTTTTTAGCAGGAGGAAAAGCCACCCATCAACCATGTTAACTTGTCAAATGGAGGTAAGAAATTTTTCACTTCATAAAATAATACATCAAACCAGTCTTTGTTCTCCACCTTCAATAAATACTTTCTTTTGAAAAACTCAATGGTGAAATCTAGCTAGGACCAATAAACCACCACACTTCTCCACCACAGAGAGGTTAGTTGTGTAAATGTTTTGATACAATCCATCACAGATACATATGTATGATTACATTTAAACCAAAGTTGTAACCTTTGTGTTATTTGTCCAGTTTCTTCCAGGCCTGTTGAACTTTATACCCTTCGTCCACAGGATTTGCCAGCAATGGGGTAAATGTTACAGTTTTAATTCGCTGAAACCTTCTATTATGGTGTCACCTAAAATATCTGCCAGGTTTATTATTAGGAGTGGTGGTTGTCCTTTAAGAGCATCATTGAGAAAAAGGAATTGCCCATAATAAAATATTATTATTAAAGGCTTAATAACTGGTCCTGAGGGAAACAGTTAATTTTGTTTCCTGAGAATCTCAAGATTTCCCAAGGAAGAGCCGAAGGAAACATTGAGATTCAAGGGAAACAAAATTAACTGTTTCCCAAGGGACCAATCTTTAAGTGATTTGTTACATAGCTGGAAATTTTGAAGCTTGAAATTCATTAAACCTTGGCTGTAACATTTGGCAGTTGTTGGTCAACATTCGTGGGTAACAGTGCACTGTTACCCTCTGACATCATAGATTTTGCAATGTTGCCCGCCCAGAGATTTTGTAAGGAAGCAGTTTCCTTGTTACTTGTCATGTGACCGGGAAGTAACCAATGAGAGCATGTGTTGGGAAAAATTTTCCAGCTAATAACAATTTCCATTGTTTACTGCCTTAGATTAACATTTATGTTTAGAACTTTACATCAAGGCCACTTGCCTTTGGCTTGTGCTTGCATCTGGGGTTTGAATAGTTTATGACATCCTTTGACTTACCATAAAGACTGTAACCTCTAGCTATGAGAAATGATAAGGCATTATTGCCAAACACAGACCATCAAATTGGCGACTTGAAGTGCAATTTCTGGTGCCACATTTTTTCTCTTCTCACTATGGTGACCAAAACAGTTTCAGATAATTATCAAGATGTGTGAGCATAGACCAGGTAAATTAATTCTACATGCGTGCAAGCTTTTTCAAATATCTGTGGACAAAACTAAGATATAGCTGTTAATGTTAATGCCATACCATTTTTTTTTTGATTTTCGATTATTTATTACTTTATCTTTTAATTAATCAATTATTTAACTTGCAGAACTGTATCAGAAGTGACAGTGATCCATGTAGATAGTCCATCCCACTTCTTTGTTCAACATAACCAGCAATGGGAAGAGATTGAGGACCTAAGTACCAAGCTCAATAAATTTTTCCAGGTAAACTGTTATGCAGATAATATATTTTTGGACCTTCTTAGCCTGCATGTAGACAGAACTCTAGTACCACTCTAGTAGTAGAACTCTAGTTCATGTAATGATAAGTTATTAGTAATATTAGATTGCCATCAGCCCATAGCAAATTACAGGGTTTTGAGCTTGGAGATAACTCACTCATTCTATAGGATGCATTATTGACCAAGCATTAGGTCAAGATGGCAGAATGATGACTAAGTTCTGTTTTTTGCTTTTTTTAGTCCAAGACCATAAGGATCAATAGTAATGCAAAAAAGAGGCCAATATCCAGCCATCTTAACCAAGCAAACATGGTCAATAATGCATTTATTATTATGGCCAAAAATAACTACTGCCAATCAAAACAATGGATTTGCTGCGTCTTGCCTGTTCCCAGATTGACAATGCCACCAATGAAAAATTAAACCAAAACTACTACTGTTGGTTGCATCTAAGTATGTACACGTGAGGAAAAAACATGTTGTAAATGGAGGCAAACATGACACGTTTTGCCGCCAAACATTCGAAGTTTGGAGTAGGCGGCTGTTGTCGACTTGATTTGTTTTCACTCAAAAAAATATTTTTGGCCAAATTTTTTTATACATTAAGAATAATTTTGGAGGCAAGTGTGCTGTTTCTAAGCGAGAAATATGCACGAAGGCTGAGTGGAATGTGCTGATCAAAAACATATAAACAACTTACCTTTGGATCGACAGTTTGCTTTAACGGCTGACAAACTTCTAATGTTTGGCGGCAAAATGCGTCATGTCTGGCACCGTATAAGAACAATGTTTTTTGTCTTGTATTCACACTTAGTTGCAACCGACGGTATCGCATCAAAGGCCTTCTGTCTTTTCATATGGCTATCCCACTTTGTTTACTGGTCTTTACGATATCACGATTAGTGTCTGTGTTTTTTTTATTTCAGGATCAATTTAGGGAAAGTGATACCTTGCCTCGTGTGGAGAAAGATATGTTTTGCTGTGCTCAGTTTACAGAAGATGATGGCTGGTATCGTGCCAGAATTGTTGAGGGCTCTACCGGAGGAGATACATCAAAAGTTCACGTAATATATGTTGACTTTGGTAATCATGAGACTCTTCCTGTATCAAGGCTTAGGATGCTAAGGAAAGAACATGCGGAGTTACCTATGATGTCAGTATTGTGTGCACTGGATGGAGTTACGCCACCTAATGGGGTGAGATACAGGCTCTTAATGTACACTGGAGTTCTTTCCTGTGTGGAGGGGTCACTAGGAGATGGATGTGTTTCCAGTCAGGGAAAAAAACAAGACACAGAACTGAGAGCATGCAACTCGCTAATGTAAAAATCAACAAGATGGCTACTCTCTAAGTGCCCTGTCAGCAGAGGCTAAATTTTCATGGTATGACTGGGCTACTTCATAAAGCAAAAATGTAGCCTCTGCTTGCAAGGGCCACAAGTTTATCAGTTTAGATCATAACTGTCAAGTGTTCCCCTCCATAAATAAAGGCATCACTTCACTTCACAGTTCATGCTCGTCAAAAATTCCCGCCTCTTGATCTTTTTAACCCTTTAAGCCCCAGTATCCAACTAGAAATTCTCCAAACTGATGTCCATACATTGCTTAAAAAATTAGTTGAGAGAATTTTGATTTAAGATCAAAGACTTTTCTCTTTGTGATCATTTTATTAATTCTCATAGACTTTGCTCTTGACAATCTATGGATTTTGTTAGGAGAAAATTGATGTTGGTCACTATTGGGACTTGAAGGGTTAATATCAAAATACTGCAGATTTTTTTCACATTGTATGTACTACCAAAAATCACTGAGGTCGTGTTAAATGTAATACATGAGTCAGTGTAATCCTTACTACCAACTGGAGTTGTGTCTTGCAATAACGTTACATTTAAGATGGCTCGATACAGTTTTTCAGGGTCAATACCCTAATCATAACAAATTTTCATCTTTATCTAATACAACTGTGGTGTCGATGTTTCCAAATCTTTGTTTATGGCGATGTAGTTTATGCTCAAACTTGGGAGGTATATTGACCCTGAAAAACTGTATCCAGCCACCTTAAAGCTACAAGATCAAGTGGGGAAAGAATTGTAAGTTTTGTCTACTATTCAATTAATTGTAGATTCAGAGACTACAAAAAGTATAAGCAGTATTGATTTTTCATAGTGATTCCTTTTAGAAATCCTCTAGCTTCACTGTGCCCATAAAAGGTTCCCTTCAACAGAAATACTTGATTCCAATAAATTACAGTAAGACGGTTCTTTAAATGCTGGCCAAAAAGTAGTATTACAAACTGTTTAGGGTTTTGGTGCCTGACAGCTGTCTTCCTCAAAACTAGTGCCGAAGGCTTTCTTAGCCTATTGAATTTTTGTCAAGAGAATACCAGATTCCCATAAAATCCTTCACATCTTTTCATCGTTAAAATACTTTAGTGTCCGCCATGGGATAAAGGGGCTAAGAACTCGTTTTTCTTGACAGAGATATTTTTTATGCACCAGACACAAACTAACAGTCAATCAAAAATAACATAGCTATTACTTGTCTAGTATTAGTCAGTATTGATTCGTTGGTCAGTAATCTAGCATTTGTCAATCATGTAGGAAAAATGGAGTGCTGCCTCTATCGCAAGATTCAGAGAGCTGTGTACCAGTGAAACACTTAAGATGAAAGCGGTCAAAGCTGAAGGTACAGTCTAAGTCCACTATGAAATGCATTAACAACAATACTTAGGATAACATGTTAAAATATGCACAAAACAAAATTCGCAAAACCACTTATTTTGAAAAGGTTAAAACATGTGGCAAAGGATAAGGCTTCTACTATTTAGGTGGCTGGAAAGCCATTTATTCCTGTGCAATATCCCACGGTTTTTATTTCAGCGGTAGTAGTTTCTTGGGTCATCAATTTAATGCCCTGAAATTTGAAATTTGTTTTTCTTTTAGTTCAATATTATTGTCAGTACTATTACTTGTTTTGCATGAATGTGAGTGGGGTTCTCTACCTAACCACTCATTCATTCTAAGAGAAAATCAAGTGTCTTGAGATATCTTTTATTGTGTAGCACTTGAGAGCATTGGAAAGCTAGTTCATACTTCATGACTTTTCAGTCTAAAGTAGCGTCATGTTATTGATTTTATAAGTTACAGTATATTATTGTTTTATAATTATTTTTCTTTCAAATGCTGATCCTCCTTTATCTGCCTAATTCTTCATTTCACAATGAGCCTTAACCAATAATGATTATTGCTAATAATTCTCAATAGTCAAATCATTATTGATAAGAACTTCAATTTGTACATTTTATAGCTCCCAAACTAGTATGGGTGTAGGTAATAGCATGATTTGTAGTGATATTTGGCATTTATTACCACAAGTGATATTTCGAAATTGTTATGCGTAATTTCACGAGCCATTAGGCGAGTGAAATTTGAGACAATTTTGAAATATCATGAGTGGTATTTATGCCAAATATCACACACAAATTATGCTATTATTTGTTTATACTACTACCCACTAAAGGTTTGTAATTTTCACATGTAGGTATTTCAAGTTAAGCTGAAATACCACTGCTGTAAGCCAATCAAATTGCAGAAATTTCTCATGTAGTAGTATAAATTGAAAAACAAGCTACATTTAAAGTGAATTTAACAGATACAGTGTACTTCTATCAGTTTTTTAACAAGCACATTATGTTATTTTAGGAAATCATCTTTATGTCCAGTTAAGGGATGCTTCTGGCTGTGATGTCATCGCTACTATGAAAAAAGAAGGCCATGCTAAGGGTGACACAGATGATTCATCAACCTCTTCATCAAGCTCGTCTTCAAAAATCTCTTCATTGTCAACCTCATCTTCCACTGATTCATTTTTAACAGTTTCCTCGTCAGCATCATCTTTATCCTCACTATCATCAAGTCAAGCAGGTTTAACACCCAGTTCAGAGAGTGGCAGGTTAGTATCCAGGCCCAGTTGCTCAAAGGCCAATTAGCGCTCAACCCGGGTTTCTTTCTCTTGTGTTCAAAAGCATTTTCTCGAATAATTTTCTCTGTTATTTTTAGAGCTTCCAATCATCAACGTGAAGACAAAAAGAATTAAGACTGAAATGCTTTTTAAGCTTTCAAATTTGAATTCAAATCTCGCACTAACCCCGGGTTATCTTAACCCACCTTTGAACAACTCGGCCCTGCAGGGGTTTTGTTTCAAGCCGGACGCCAGACGCAATGTCCGGTTGTTTCACATGTAACGTCCGGTAGTTCACACATGATATACTTATTTTTTGAAATAAGAAAATTGTTTCTTTTTTTTCGTTTTTTGATCAAGTAAAAAACCAACATCTACAAACTGACAATTATAATTGCCAAATCAAATATTTCACTTTTTGTGAACATTTTTAATGTATTAAAAGACCTTCCTGGTTAATCAATTCTGGTCCAGGGAATGCAGGAAATTTCATTTTGGAGAGTCCAATTATAAAAATTTCCAAGGGGAGCATGCCCTTGGACCCCCCCTAGAAGTTTGTGACTCCTGCACTCAACGTTATTGCTGTGGCACAAACAGTGCAAGTCCGAATGCTGAAGCTCTGCATCCAGTACTTCCAAATGCTGCCGAAAACCCTGAGAATCATTCCTCTAAGGGTTTGATTCATTGGGATGGTTTGGATCAGGATCAGTGATCTGAGATTTCTTGGATCGTAACTCATCAAAGGAACTGACAAATCACCCTGGGAAAGAATTCGTCAGTTCATTAATGATCTACCATGATCTGAGTGATCTCAGATCATTGACCTTGATCCAGATCATCACAATGGAATGCACCCTAAGTCTTTGCTCATTCAGACACATAATAGGCTGATTTAGCAACAGGACGGGAATGTCAGTTGACAACGGGAAAGCAGGCGGAAAGGACTGAACACGACTTCCGGTGCCCAATTTGCCACTCTTCTATTGGTCAAGCCAGTTGTTTAATTTGAGCACGCCGTCGTCAACTGATGTTCCCGTTCTGTCGCTAAATCAGCCTATTAGCAAAATCAAAACCTTTGTGATGAATTTTGAGAGAAGAGTGAAAATAATTTTTTCAAGTCTTAATGTAGGTATGCCCAAACTATTTCCTGTTGTACTTTAACTTAAATAAATAAACACTCTATCACTCAGAATTAGTACTTGAGAACAGCCTGCAGAGCACAACGCAGCACAACTGAACACGATACATTTTACAGCTATCAACTATGTATTTTAAAGAAAAGAAGAATTTAATTAAATGTACATGCACCAGCGTATGGACACATAAAATATGTTGTACTCTTTTACTTTTCCTTGTTGAGAACTGAAGTGCTAATTCAGGGCTCTATTAACAGAGAGATTTTGAATATTCATTTTATTAAATTTTGTTGAATTCTTATTCATGAACAGTAGTTTTTTGGATAGTTATGATCTGTCAAAGCAAAATGATAATGTGGTTAAGTACTGCTGAGAAGTTTTCTTGCATACTTAAGTATATTATTGCTGATCACTGGTTATTAACCACTGGTCCTGTGTGCTCAGCTGATCGGTTTTTTGATATCAGAATAAACTAAAGACATTATTATTATTATATTGTTATTATACCAGTCTTGAGAATATAACTTCTTACATTTTAGAAGATTACTTCAAGCCAGGCCCTGAAAGAAGAAAAGTAAATATTAACTTAAGTTAAAGCACAGGTGTAGTTTGTTTTTGATCAAAGTAAAGTTGTTTCTAGCTTACATGTCTCTACCTTCTGCAGCCATGAAATTAAATCAAAAGGATCTGAAGATAAAAAAGGGACATCACGACCTTTTCTGAGACACAGATTCTTGTCCAGGGATGAAGAGGTTCAGAAAATACCTGGTTAGTCGTTCTTTTTCAGCTTCAGGAATAATGGCATAATAATGTAATGATGGTAGTTGAAAATGAGATTCAGGTTAAAATGGCGCCAACCTAGTTTAATTCTCAAATTCCTTTGTCTTTCTACCCTAATTAGTGATGACTATTAATAATGTAATCTTCTAATCCTAATCATTCATGATTAGAAATATGACGGATCATGAGAATTTAAGGGAAATTGAGAATCAAACTAAGTTGAAACCAGTTTATCTTGTATTCGATCTTGAACCACAACAATACCAGAATTGGCAAAGCACAAACATTAGGTTATAAAAGTATGTATAGATTCAAAAGGTGACATTTTTAGTGCTGGCCCATCAGACTGAATTCTGAAAGATACAGTGTAAACAGGTAGTGTAAGCCGTGGCGATGGTCATCAAATTTACCAAAGGTGTGTTGTAAGTGTTATTCACGATTCTAGTAATGCGGTCTTATTATCTGTGTGGTACATAACCTTTAACCCAAACTGTAATATTTTTTGCCTTTTAGAGAAGGTTCAAATCCCAGAGGATGAGAACTTTCTGGATGTCTTTGTATGTAATATTCACAGCACGGACAACATCTGTGTCAATCTTTCAGGAGAAGAATATTCAGTGAGTATCCCCTTAAACTCATTGACGGGAATGGAGGTTACTGCCAATAAGTTTCTTTTATTTGGCAGCTTGTTTCCTGAAGGAGTCAAAGTGATATTTGATGCTCAAGTGGTGCACGTTTGACAATCATTTCTGTGAAACACAGAATGATGATGTGAACTGCGGAAATATAAGTTTAATTGAAGATATCGTTCATATCTTCAATTAAACTGATGAATTAAAGAATGATGATGTGAACTGCGGCAATTCAAGTTTAATTGAAGGTATCGTTCATGTCTTCAATTAGACTTGTATTCCCGCAGTTCATATCATCATTCTGTGTTTCACTCCTTTCACGGGTTAAGATGAACTCAACAAATTGGCCTGCTCCCAATGTATAGGTCTTGATAGCTCAATAGGTTAGAGCACTGCTGCACTAACACAGAGGCCACAGAGGGTTTTAATCCCGTTGAAGTCCCGGAATTTTTTCGGGTTAAACTGCAATTATCACTGTGACGATCATATCTTCAATTAAACAATTCTTACTGCATTGTTTAGGACAAACTGACAGCCTTGGAGCAAAGTATGCTGTGCCATTATGAAGAACCTAGCTCTGAAGGTCAGATCTCACAGTAAAGTAGCTCTTGTTGTAAAGTTGGGTTAATTTTGAGCACCCTAGTATTTTCTTTGAAAATTGAGTATAGGAAAAAATCGCCTCAGACTTGGGCATAAGTGTCTTGCACTGCAGTGATGGGAAGAGCAAGGAGGATTGCCCATGCTCAACATTACCAATGGCTGTCCAGAATTTAAGTGGTTGAGCATTAATTTTGAGTGTTCCTTGCAAACTGATAAATGAATTGGATTTAATTATGTTGTATCCATGTCGAAGAGATCACACTAGTTTTTGTACTCAATTTTTATTCATACTAACTGTAATCTTCAGACAAAACTAAAAGATTTAATAATATATATACAAGGAAACCTGACCCAGGTAGACCTTTGCTGGTGTCCACTTAATAAATGACCGTATACCATTAACATTTTAACATGCTCGTATAAAATTGTGTGTAATGCAAAACAGTATGATAAATTATAAGCAAATAGACACCAAGAATTCAAACTTAACTTGAATAAAATGGTAGACAGGTATGGTTTGTTCTGCAATTATATACTTAAACTAGTGATTGGCAGGATTAGCTCAGTCGGTAGAGCGTTTGACTGCAGAGCGGGAGGTCGCGGGTTCGATTCTTGGGGCCGGACCATTACTCAGGGTCTTAAAATGACTGAGAAATGAAGGTACTTCCTTTGCACTGCACGCGGCGAGACCTTCGGGTGGCTCGGATGACCACGCAAAATGGCGGTCCCCGTCTCCATTAGGAGACGTAAAAATAGTGTCCCCAATTAGAACTTTCATGCTAAATACATTTGACACTCAAATAAAAAGTGCATTTTTTTAAAAGTGAAATCCCTACCATTTCATATACCTGAAGAAATAACCCTTTCGGGCGGAGCCTCCTCGTATAGGCCATCGAAGAGAGTACCCCCACGCCCTATAGACAGGGTTTGTACCGCTCACTACAGAGTCTTGAATTCTTGAAAAAATCTTAAAATTTGCCCAGCAATTTTCCAGACCTGGAAAAAGTTTGGAAAATAGAGATATAGTCGTGAAAAATGGTAGAGGTCTTGAGTGTTTTTGAAAGCTACAACAAGTGCTTTATAAGTGAATTTTTTTGTTTTGGTCACACCTTATTCAATCTCGCCCGTATGTTTGCAGTGGATCATGAAAAAACTTTGTTCCTGCGTTTTTCAAAGTCTCCATTGATCAGCGTCTTGATAACCTCGAGTCTGGAAAAAATTATTGTTTGGGGAAAAAGTCTTAAAAAAAGTCTTGAATTTTGGATCAAAAAATCCGTACGAACCCTGTTTAGAGAACACTGCCATTGAAGTGGGAATTGAAGTCCCAACTAAAAGAAATCCTCGTGTGGATTTTATTCCGTTAAAATCTCCCCATTATGCCCCTAAAAGTACACTAAATACTGGTTACGATAATGTATATTACAGTTTCATCGTGCTGAACCAACTTAGTGTTTTTTGTTTTGTTTTGTGTTGTTTTTTTTCCCTTTAGAAATGCCCAAGATTGTCCCTGGATGTATTTTTGCCACATACTCCAAAGAAATCCATTCCGAGGGTCTCTGGTATCGTGTCAAAGTCCTCAAAGTCAAAGGAGACACTGCGCACATTGAGTATCTGGATTACGGGGACACAGGGCATGTACCTACGTCAAACTTGCGAAGTATTCCATCAAGATTCTTAGAATTACCCTTCCAGGTTTGTAGCATGATTCTTGCTTATTTTTCTTTCTTTCACTTGTAGACTTATTTTCTACATTGTTTGAAGGATGATTCTGTTTGATCTGTTATGATCTTGGTGAATAGAGCGATTTTCGTATGACCTTAAAATGAAAACGCGCGAACAAAATAGACACAACAAACGGACGGAAATAGAGCGATTTGATTGGTTTATCGAACGGACACAAACGCGTGTGGCGTTTGGTTGGTTAGGCGAACTTTCGGGTGAGAAACCTTCATGCCCGAGAACTTTCTAGAAATCAATTGTTACTTCGCTTTGACGTCATACTGCTACACGATTGGCCAATCAAACAATGCCTTCTCCATATTAGGGTTGTCTTTAGCAGGAAAACGAAGAGGCCGTGTTTTGATCGTTTCATCCATTGGCTAATAAAACAAATACAGTTGACTCCCGAGAAGTCGAACCTTACAAGGGAAATCGAAAAAGGTTCGAGTTATCGGGAGCTCGAAAAAAATACCCGGGAGTAAGGAAAAAAACAGTTTTTACTGTATTGGGAACATTTTAATCACATTTAATTGTAGAAATGTCAAGTGAAAATTAAAAGATACTTCTAGATTATAAATCAGAACGTAACATAACAAAACCTTGCTTAAATAGAGCATGCTTTGTACTGTTTTGAGAAGTAAAGCTGTTTCACGTTAGATTTGTGACAAACAACATCAACCTCCAATAGTAAATTATATGCCTACAACACGTCAATGGGAAATTCAAAATTCAATGTTTGGAACGTCAGTAGACTTTTTTTCCCGACTTTTAAGGGCTCAAAACATGGTTCGAGTTATCGAGGGTAAAATTATATAGAAATGATCTGAGGGGAAACAAAAACTGCTTCGAGTTAGCGGGAGGTTCGAGTTATCGAGGGTTCGAGTTATCGGGAGTCAACTGTAACGAACACTTACCGAAACCATTTTTTAAGGCCATACGAAAACCGCTCTATTTTAAAGTTACTTTTTTGTTCGCTTCTTTGTTTCTTTTTCAAGGCACTGACTATCAGTCTAAGTGGGCTTCCAAAGACAAAAAATGCGGAGGTTATTCTTAAATTAAAACAAATGACACTCAACAGAGATCTTGTGGCAGAAGTCATAAATATGTGAGTACCATTCTTTATGGTGTTGTTTTAAGTTATCAGTTTATATCAGACAAAGTACCAGACATTTGTGCCCTTTTTTTAACAAGTTGTAATGCATATGTTGCAATTTGTCAGCTTCATATTTTCAAGCGTACAGTACCGAGGACCAGGATCGTAATGTAGGAGCTGCTCGGAAGGTCTCTCCTGATTGGTCGCACAAAACAATGACATGTCATTCTTCCAATTGTTTTAGTATTTTTTGGGGTCAGGGAAACCCACTACTGGTGACTTCTCTTCCGAGCAGCTGCTACATGACTCTCCCAGGGAATTCGGGGTTTGAGCAAATCGGATTTTAGTATACAATGCCTACCACCTACCACACTTTATCTTTCACTGTTTTGAGAACGTATTTTATTGAGAGTCTGAAATTACTGTAAAAAAAAATTTAGTTCGTTTCTCATTATTTCCAAAGCCATAAACTTAACCTTTAGTAGCACTACTTTGTTAAAGTATAAACCACTATGGCTACTTTTTTTTACCAATTTGGCACGCTGCCTCAACAAAAAAGTGAAACAGGAGGAAGTGGTCTTTTATGGTTTCCTCTCAATGTGTACATATATCTACAGGAATTGTAACACAGTGTCAGTTGAACTGTGGGACACTTCAAATGAAGGCGCAGACATAAACATTAACAGATTACTACGATCACTGGTCATTCCAGACGAGGAAATGGTTCCAGTCTTGCCAAAGGTAAGAAATTGTGGAAAAACTCCAGTTAACTTTAAAATTTTGCACTGTGCGCAGTTAGCAACAGCTCAACGAGGCGAACAGTTGTGGCACACATATGAATAGCTGATAAATTTCATAAGGTAAACCATTCCAAATTTTTACACCTTTTTCTGAAAAGGACTTTCAACAAAATGATTCCCTCGTTAAGATGCTATTTTTTCATATAAATGAGGAGTGAATGTATTAGATATATTAGGAGTTTATAAGAGAGGTCGTACGCATTATTAATAAGAATACTTTTAATAATATTGATTAATGTTATTATTGTTATTGTGTTTATTTTTACTTCATTTGTTTTCCAGTCAGTATCTAAGCTCACTTAGCAGTTTTAATTGCAAAAGAGTTGTGTTGCAGTATCTCTGTAGTCCTTTCATTTGTTTCCTTTGTATTCATAGCCTGGGGAACAGATAGACGCATTTGTGACATTTGTTACTCTGGAAGGCCACATATTTATACAGATTCCTGGCGGTGGAACAACGCGATTAGACGAACTAATGAACGACATTAGTGAACACTACTCTCAGGTAGTATTCCAAAAAAAAACATCCAGATTATAAGCTCCTCCGGTTAGGAGCACCTAACGCCCCCCACCCCCGCCCCCTCCCCTCCCCCGTTCCCGATTTTCAAGCCATCAATTTGTAAAGAGAAATTTTGGTCTGGTTACAAGCTTTTCCCCAATTGTAGGCCTAACCTATTTCAGGCTCTAAGATAGCAGAGAAAGCGGATCGAGAAAACATGCGCGAAAATCGCGTGGGGGCTGGGGAGAGACGGTGTAGTAGACGGAGTAGTATTCTGACACGAGGAAAGGGTTTTTTGAGGAAGTTGGTGGAGATAGTGGGCGGATTGAGGTATTTAAAAAGATGCTTATAGCCTCTCCCTTCTCTCTTCCCACAGTTTTTTCGCTCGTTCGCTATTTCACTGCTCGCTCGCTCCTTCGCTAGTCTGCACTGACCAAGAGCCTGGCGCAGGCTGTTTTAGGCCTAGAGAAATAGAAGATATTACATGCCCTCGCGTGGATACGAATTTTATCTTCGAGGGAGCGAGCGCAGCGAACTCGTGAGATATCGAGTTGAACACGAGAAGATAAAATTCGTTTCCACAAGCGGGCATGTAATATTCTGTTTATTATATACACACCGATGGCGAGGTGCTGTGATGCTCCTTTCTTATTGGCTGAGACTGAAGTAGCCATGACAACCGTGATATCTTCACATGTGAAGGATAAAAATTGTATCTTCACCGGATACCAAATTTTTGTCACTGGAAAAATCCTGGTATTTCATCGGTGTCCATATTATAAATATATTTATACACACCCGACTGAATAAAACGTCGTCGCTTGAAACGTATGCGAAGTTAAAGTTCTTTCTAGAAAAGCTTGTGATACATTATCACAAGCTTCTCGTCCTGATGCAATGCCATTCCGGCGAGGTTTAAGCGGATTCTAGTTGTCTTGGCAATGAGTCGATGACTTCAGGTATGGGCACATGTTTCTTTGGACTAACTCTCTTGTTATAGAGCGTAGCCACATCACCAACATACACTTGAAAATCATAAGATGAGAGCTAAACGTTTTGTGGGTTCATATTGGCTTCTATACATTCCATTCATTCTTAGCGTCCAAACGAATGCTGGCTACATACGTGCGACGCATGCGTAATAGCTACCGGGAGACCTTGTCGCCTGCTAAAATTCCGGCTATCTTTGTGTTTGATGAAATTGTTTTTCAGTAAATTTGCGCCTTTTATGTAATCTCTTGCAAGCTCCTACTGTATTTTTGCACCAATGAATTAAACATCGCTTTTATCCTCCCCTTCATTTTGTAGCCAACAAAAGCTGCCGAGTTTGTATCCAGTCCCCAGAAAGACAAGATTGTCTGTGCCAAGTGCTCTGATGGGGCCTGGTACCGAGCTGTGGTCTCTAAAGTCTTGCCTGACAGACAAGTGGAAGTGAAGTATGTTGACTATGGAAACACAGAGGAGCTGCCGATATCAAGTCTGCGGCAACCAACCAGGTCCATCAGCCATGTCAACTCCCTCCCTTTTCAGGTATTGTAGTGTCTACAGCGCTTTCATGTCTCTGAAATTGTAATTGCAAGTAGGAGTTTTTAAAAACTCGTTTAAAAGTGTCCGTTCGTTCCCAGTAATTTGTTACGAATAGTTATGGTGAGTCCTAGGACTCATCTTGTGAACAAATCTTGAGTCCCAGTCCAGAACCATCGAGTCCCAGTTCAGAAAACAATAAGTCCTAAATTGAAAATGCTTTGGGCCTTTATGTGACCAGACAGATAAAAGATATTCTTTTGTAAAGAACACCGAAGACTAATGGCGCTTATCATTTGTCAGAACTGACCGGCCAGTTCCTTCCTGTAGTAATAAGAATTTCACCATTAATCAAAACTATCCTGCTACATCAGTCAAGTCCTAAATAATAGTGTGCAGGAAGTAGATGGTTCTTCAGCAAAAACTCCTGGAAAAAGCCGATTTCATTGTCAATATAACTGGTCTGGTAATGGTCCTGCCGGCCAGTTCTGATAAATGGAAAGCGTTATGCGTCGTTAAACAACAGCCACAAGAACAGCAACAGAAATCACATGAACAGGATATTCTACAAAGACATCTTTAGATCGATCGATCTTTACATCCTACGGGACGGAAACGGAACTATTGCGTCTTTGCGGATTTTTATGCGTCGGGGACACAAGACGCAGAGGTAACAAAATCACTGGCGTTCCGGATCGAATTGGAATTTACAAGTGTTGGTTTTTAAAGAGATGGGAAAACGAAGTACCCGGAGAAAAACCTCTCGGAACAAGGAAGAGAACCAACAACAAACTCAACCCACATATGGCAACGAAGTCGGGTTTTGAACCCGGGCCACATTGGTGGGAGGCGAGTACTCTCACCACTGCCCTACCATTACCCTGGTGGAGAACTCCCTATAATGGGCCATACGGGGATGCTCCGCTTGGCTTGATCGGGGTACCTTTTGCAGGCGTCGGGTATATAAAAGAGTAAGGCGTTTACTAGTTGAAGTATATGAATTGAAGGGTAGGCAAATCCTCATTTCGGTCTGTAATAAGGGCCAAAGGGGCTTACAGATTACTGCGCTTTTCATAAACACGCAAATTTTGAAGTTCAAAAGCCAACTGACGCTTGCGTTTTTCGTTGCCGTCAATCATCTTAGCGGACCTCTTTGGAAACAGAAGTTTACTTTAACGGGTTCAAAAGGTCACGAATTGTGATTTGTGATTGGTGGATTTCGATCAGTTGTGTGTGTTTCTGTGTTTCAAGGTTCGTTGCTTGTGATCGTAATTATGATTGACGGCAGCGAAAAACGTAATTGTGAAGGCGGCTTTTGAACTTCAGTTTTCGCGTGTTTTTGAAAAGCGCAACAATTTCATACCTGAAAAGTAGGGAAAACGTTCTGGTTTTGTGTTCGATTCATATTTAAAAGACAATGCATTTGCAGCTGTTAGAAGGGATGCAAAGTTCTAAACTAGGTATGTGAAAAGGATACCATTTTTGTCAAATAAGACGAATGGAGTACCCTTTTTTTGTCAGATGTTGTCTATCAAGTGGGGAGGGGTGGACCTCGGGACGGAGCCTCCCCGCATAAAACTTTGTTGGGTACCCCTCCCCCTCGGGTATAAACCTACTTCACTGTTCCCTAAATTTATTCTAGGCATAATTTTTCCTCATTCATTCCATGTGCTTTGCTTTCATTAGGCTTTGGAGTGCAGACTTGAGGGCACTGAGCAGGTGGGTGAACATTTTTTTCCTTGTTCATTGATTGTGAATCCTTTTGAACCAAGTATCAGCGTTCACTATGCATTTCCTTTGACATTAATAAGATTTGTTTAAAGAGGCTACGTTCTGCTATTTGCTATATTTCTAAAAAGCTAAAACGCATCTTTGCAATTCCAAATGTAATGGTCTAGTTTTGTTATTCAAGGCTATAATAATTAGGCGCTGAAATTGCTTCCTGTAGCTGTTACTAAGGATGGCTGAAACTTGAAAAAAGTGGGCCAACTTTTTCAGATTCTAATGCTGTGCCTCCAAAAATTACCAAAAAGATCGGTGTGGTTTGTGGTTCCTGATGAAATCTGTTTCATAACTTTACAGGAGCATTTTGTGTATAACCAAAGGCACTAAGTAATTGCTTTAGCACGGAATTGGGGTGATTTTCGTATGACCTTGAAATGAAAACGCGCGAACAAAACAGAAACAACAAACGAACGGAAATAAAGCGATTTGATTGGTTTATCGAACGGATATAAACGCGCGTTCCTTTGGGTTGGTTCAACCAACTCTCGGGTGAAAAAACTTCATGCCCGAACAACTTTATAGAAATAAATCGATACCTCGCTTTGACGTCATACTTCAACACGATTGGCCAATCGAACAATACATTCTCCATATTAGGATTTTCTTTGGCGGGAAAACGAAGAGTCCATGTTTTGATCTTTTCATCCATTGGTTAATAATACAAATAACGAACACTTACCGAAACCATTTTTTAAGGTCATACGAAAGTCGCTCTAATAAAAAACGGCAAAATTCAGGTGACAAAACCCCTAAACAATCAAGGCCGTGTTTACTTGTTAACCATCTCCTTTTTTCTCATGACTGTTACGTTAACTAAGAGGAGAAATTAACTGTTGTGCCCTCTAAGGGGTTAATGGGTTAAAATTTTTCGAATGATAGGGCAGGGAATGGTCAACGTTATTTAATCACGCTAACCTAATTCATCATAAGAACTGGTTTTCAGCAAGGGCGTGCCTCAAAAATATTTCTAATTGCTTCCCCCCAAAACTCTAGAGACTTAACACTACGGTTTTATTGATCATAATGACGAAAGTTGAACAAGCGTGCTGAATCTAAATACGTACAAACGCCTAAAGCAGAAACTTAAGAGTAAGTGAAAGCGAAAATGTAATAACTATTATCACACAGAATTGTTTTCCTAATTCGACAAACACAGGAATCTATTTAATGAATTCTAAGGTTAATTAATGGTTTCAATAAAAGAAGCTAGGAACTCCTTGGGGAAGCACCACTGTACCGCAGGCCGTTTTTTTTAGAGATTGTATCCTCGGTAGGGGAGTAGCAATCTTAGTTGACGAGTGCCAGTCGCATAGGATTCCTTAAAAATAATAGTAAGTCGAGTTGGATTTAAGCCATTCAAAATTTCAAACATAACTCTTGCTTTGACTTCATTGGCCGCTTTAGAAAACGTGATAGAAACTGGGGCTAGTTAACTCTCGCAAAGACTTTTGGGACTGTTACTGGGGACAGTGGCAAAAATTGGCCAATTAATAGCTGACGGACGCGTCCCCTGTAACGATCCCAGAAGTCCTTGCGAATTCTAACTCGTCCCAGGTTCCTTTTCGTTTCTAAAGTGGCAAATTTCGCAAAGACCTCTGGGACTGTTACTGGGGACAGGGGTAAAAATTGGCCAATAGCTGACGGGCGCGTCCCCTGTAACTATCCCAGAAGTCCTTGCGAATTCTAACTCGTCCCAGGTTCCTTCTCGTTTCTAAAGTGGCGAATTTTGCAAAGACTTCTGGGACTGTTGATGGGGACAGACTTGCTACGCCCAATTAGGTAAGTTTGTGACTGGTATCTTTACTTCCTTTGTGTTTTACTCAACAGAAACCCTTAACAGAGGACCAAGCTATTGAGATAATGGAAAGAAATGTTCTGCTGGAGGTATGTATGGAGTAATTTTTTTTATTTTATGGCTGAAACCGCGAGCGAGCAAGATAAAGCCAATCCTGTGTTCTGATTGGGTACTCGAGCCAGCAAAATGGCCTTATCTTGCCCGCTGGGGATTTCCCGGGTAGGTCCCTCACATGGATGTTGGCATTGTTCGTTTTGGTGTTTTTTATTGGTCCATAAATCGCAAAACTTAGTCAGCTGAGCTTTTAGTTAAGACACGGACGGATGGTAAGAGTAGAAATACTGGTTATAAACTTTCATTTTGTTTATTTGTTTGTTTTAGGTGGTAGAGGGGTCAGATGTACCAATAGTAAGGTTATTCATCCCCTCAGAGGAGGATGAACAGGCACTGGTAAACTTAGGGGAGCTTATTGGAGTGGAAACTAAGAGAGCAACAGAGACTCAAGACGCTTTGCCTTCTAATGGGTTTGTACTGTTCTCAACTGAACTAAATGTTCAATTAATAGTGTTTTCGTATTACGTCACGGCGGCCATATTGGTGTCCCAAAACAATGAAACGGCGGCCACGTTGTGGGAGTTGAACTCGTTTCTTATGCGAATGATTTATTCAATAAATTTGCATAGATGCTGGCCACGTGAGTGGAAACGCTCTATTACAAGAGTGCGCGCTTGCCATTTTCCAGAACTGGCCGGGAAGACCAGGCCATGATAAGCACGACAGTGATGGGTTTTTTCGCACCCTGCGAGTAGATCTTCCTTTTGCCTTTTTCAGTGAGGCGAATAAAAGGAGGCTTTACCAGAATTGCGTCAAACCTTTGAGGTCGCCGCAGCCAAACTTCTGGACCAGTCAATCTTGCTTTCTCTCGTCAAACTGTTTTTTCGAGTGCGAGCATCTGTTTATTGATAAACCGATGGTCATTACCGAGCCCGTTGCAGTAGGCGTACGGGTATTAGGTCTGGGTTCGAAACTGTATCCTAGCAACTTGCAGTGCATGCTCAACAAAGATCTCACTCGATCCAAGCAGAGTCTTTCTCGAGTGCGTCAAAATCGAGCAAGCAAAAAGAAGGCTTCGCTGGCAGGATGTCGCGAAAACTCTCAATAACGTCCATTACAGTTTCAAAATGACCATTCCTGCCGCCTAGTTTTGTCTTTTTGGTGAGGACCCTAAGATTCATCCTGTATTCGTAGTGGCTGAATAGTAAACCAGGAGCTTTTTCATTTCCTGCTTTGCTCAAAGCTGTGTTGAACAAGAAATTATTTGGCCTTGTATACTGCTGATTTACTCAAGGTTTGCTTTCTTGTGCAAGAGCTATTCCTCAGAAGGTTCAGAACCATTTTTTGAACACGTTACAAGTTCTAATATTTCTAATTATGGCAAATCGCAAAGCCTTATGAAATCACATTGAAAGCACTTTGACGACAGTCAGGTCGTACTTACTTGACCGACCTTTCGCCAGTGCGAAATGTCGCTCTTACGAAATTCCGTTTCTATAAACCAGGCGTAATATTGTCGGCATGTCCACTAAATTACGCTTCATTCAACGAAAGTTCGCGGGCCCTTAAGTGAAATTTCGTTGCGAAATTTCGGCGAACTGACTGGACAAAATTCAGCGAACTTCGCTCTCATTACTTTTGCATGTACTGAACTCCTCAAGGTTAAAGTCTCTCCAATCGAGATACTGCAAACCTTTTGCGTTTGTTTGCGTCGTATTTGTAAACCCGCCTTATAAATCATGATGATGGCTATTTTGTACCAGAAACGATGACGCTGTCTCAGAATCTCTTGATGACGCTGGTTCAGTGGACGGCGATAGTGTGACGTCAGAGAGCTCATCAGAATCTAGCAAGTCCCCGGATGAAGCTGAGAAGCTGTCCTCTGGAGTGCCTTCAGCTATAGATTTGTCCAAACCCTGGGTGGATATATCCCTTCTAGAATGTGAAGGCCCCGGTCTTTTTATGGTGAGAAAAGGATGACGAACTGTAGAAATCTTCCGCATGCTTTTTACTCTTTATACTGCGATTTCAAATTCAGTGAAATGTCGGTTTGATTTAATGTTGTTCTCTTCTTTGCAGTTTCAATGTTTGGAGTTACTTCAGCAACATGAGGAGCTTGAAGAAAAAATACAAGAATATTATACGGTATGTACTCAGCTGGAATAAGACATAACTTTCCCGCCTGTCTTTTAGTCTCTTAGATTTGTCTTGAGGTAGTTTCCGAGTAAGCTCTCTTAAAGCGTGCAGGTGGGGGGTGGGGTGGTAGGGAGCACTAGGTTGCTTACCTTTTACTTAAACCACCCGGGTGGAAATCTTGTGCATAAACATCAAACTATAAAATTTGACCCGGAGCGAGAACGAAGCGCTGCAAAGTACATCTAACTCTGCTGAACAGACTAAAAGAAGTGAAAGAATTGCATCTCCTCTAATCACAGCCCATGTTTTCTGAGGCTTTCCAAACCGAATTGGGCCAACCATTTGATTTTCCCCCCGGAATTTCCGGTTTTCTCATGTAAATGCGAACTGCCCCTAGAGAAGCGGGATCTAAAGCGGACGCGCGCAGCGAGGGAATTTACGCACTTCCCTAATTTCTCGCGCGACCACGCGCTTAATTGGGGAGGTTGATCGCTGCTTAGCTCTCAGGCCAAGGCGACCGTATTTTCGTAAGCTTTTCGTAACTTCTTTTTGTTAGTTATATAGACCTTGTGTCGTATGGTCATGACAGAAGTCAACTAATAAAAGACCTCTATCTTACTATTAATTTACTTTTTAAAACACCTGCATTTATTGTAACACCGTAACATAATTCTAATGACATCTGGATCAGAGACCCTTAATAAAACTCAGTATTCAAGTAAAATGGTGTGTTTTTGGTAAGAGATATTATTCCTCGTGACATTTGTATGATAGGGTTAGTTTATCGTTTATCGTAACTTTGTTATTGATCGCACAACAAATACACACCATTGTTCGCCCGATGAAGACCCGCAGTACGCGGTGGAAACGTCGCGATCAACAACACAGTCGTTAGTTTTTGTGTCAAGAAAATCAACCGTCAGATAATTTACTTTGTATTGTATTTGACAATATAAAAGTGAATTTTTTTTACTCGTAACGGTTAAAGGGTCAGTGTTGTCCGCCATTGTTTTCTATTGCTCAATTGCTTTGCATTGCCTTCACAGAACAAAGTGAGAACTCCTTTTAGAGAGATCAAACCGGGTGTGCTGTGTGGTGTGCTAAATACAGAAGATAACACTTGGTATAGAGCAGTGATAAAGACTCTTCTGTCTCCACAGCAGGTATGTAAATTACTCTTGCCTGCGTAACAAGCCTTTCCGCGCGAGTTCGTCGAGAAAGTTAGGACGAGAGCAAAAAAGAGGAATTAAGGGGGAGGGGGAGTGGAGTGAGCTCCCCTCCCCCTTCTTCCATTTTTGTTTTGCTCTCGTTCCAACTTTCGCGCAATAACTCGATCGGAAACGCTTGCTACGCAGGATAGTATTGGTCTTAGTGAAAACATGTAACACTTGAATGGCTAGTCTGAGGGATCAATTAAATTTTTAGAAAGAGCGGTGTATTCTTAAGAAATTTATGACATATTTCTTTGTTTCTCGATAGATCTGTGTAAGGTTTGCTGATTATGGAGATTTTGGTATCGTGCCATCCTCCAATATTCAAGCATTACCTGACGAGTTTAGACAGCTCCCACATATGGCTGTGCAAGGATGTCTTCACGGTATGCATCAGAGCGGTTCGCTGTTATTTTTTCTCCCGGTTGAGATTGAAAGCAGTTTGAGTGTAGTGAAGAAAAACAAAATAGTCAATTTTAGCCAATCACAACTCTAGGTGACAATGAAAGGAACCAATCAGATCTTGAGACGTGATCGTGTCGCCGGCTAAAGCGCGGGAAAACGCTCGCCATCAAGTCAGTGATTGTTTGGTCTCAGTTCTGATTGGTTGAGAAAATGGCGTGAGATTTTTCAACCAATCACAAAGCTTAACAATATCAAATCAAATCACATTCAACTTTCATTTGAAAATCGTTCTTGAATCAAAGTCAAGAGTCTTTGTTAATCGTAACATGCGTGGCCTATACTGCAAACAAAACAGAACTTATTGTTTCTTGCAAATTTGAAAAGGCTGAAGTTACTGGGGTCGCACAGTGTTTTTGTCTCAACGCGCACACTGTGACTAAGAACTCGACTGATATATGAGAGAAAAGGCGGACTGCAAGAGGTCTAAGAAAGACTGAACGGGTTAGAATTGTTGTTCATTTATTTTCCCTGGCAGGAGTGGAGCCAGTAGGAGCTGACGACTTAGCAGAGTGGTCAGAGGATGCTATTCGGCGGTTTGTGGAACTTACAGGCGATAAAAAGTTAGTTGCGAAGCCTAAGGGCGTAGTGACTTATAACCGCTCCACGAACGAAGAGACTAAAATATCGCTTGAACTTTACGACACGTCTGGAGTCAATGAAGATGTAAGAATCGCTGATGTGTTGGTCAGTGAAGGACTAGCAAGAAAAATCAACGAGAGTTGAAGGCTGAAGGGTTAGCGCCATGGCATCATCAAACAAAAAGGCGGTGAAGAAAGCGTGGAAAGATAAACAACTAAAGCCATAAAGAAAAATAGAGCTTTAAGAAGAAACACTGTGAAGTACAACCATTTTGTAAGTTCATGTATGTGAGGAAGTGTAATGGCAAATTACAAGGCTCTGGCTTGTTTGCTAAACAGTTGCTCTGCTGACGTAAAGAAGAGAATTACACATGCCAGGATGGTGTATTTAAAGATAAGACGGACGAGCTTTTCGCTCGCTTATCACGCGTCGTTTGCCTTGCGAAAGTCTCCTTCGCAATCATTATTTGTGCCACGCAATATTTCTTTATACGCACAGGTACAGGTGTTCCTAACCCACACGAAATTATGTCACGTTCTGGGTTCACTTTTGTTTGGTGTGGCGTGATGGCCCTTATAGTGTCACGCAACATATCTTCAGTGATGCAATTGCGCTGTGTGATTATCTCTTTAATACAATGTAATTTTAAAAAGATATGGAAATTTAACAAACTGCAAATTAGATTTGGATAAGTGAGCCGTAGATTGTTACACAGTTCTTGTCTTCATGACAGAGAAGCGTTGTGTGACGCATGTAATGGTTGCGAAGGAGCGCATGCGCCCTGCCGAGGTATTTAAGTAAGATACAGAAGAAGATTTATGGTTAATTGTTCAACTGGGCATTTGTTTTTGTCCCCCAAAGTTGTTTGTGTGTGGGTGCTTGCTATCACAAATTTTAAAGATGCAGTAGTTCTAATCACTTGTGTTAATTAATCTGACTGCTTGTTTGCCGAGAATTTAGTCGTTAGTAAGTTCCATTTTGTATAAAGACGATTTTAATATTTGACCGTTTGCTACTCGATAGTAAACTATTGACAATGGTGGAGTGGTTTTCAATTTGTCGTAAAACCAGCAACAAAGACAGTCAGCCAATCACAGACGCACACAAAACAAAAGGCCAATCAGAAGTCATAGCAAGTGCATGTTGCTGGCTCAAAGAGACCTCAAAATACTTTTCGAAACTTTAATATTGCAAGTGGCTCCTCCTAATCTCAATAGGCCATTTTCGAGTTGCTCCAAGCCTCTGTTTCAAAGCGAGGCTAAGATGATTTTTATTATCGTGCAATTAAATCTCATTTTTACAAGAAAGGATTTGCACTTAGCCTCGTTTTGAAAGTGAGATTTTTGGAACTCGGAAATAGCCTATTGCACTCACAGTTTCATATCTTAAATCTCAAACGTAAGGATATTATTTGCGTAATAAATCGCAGTACGTGAAAGTAATACTGAGTGGCTTTCATTGCATCGGATACTAAGGATTCCATCTGGGGACTGGAGAGTTTGGACTCCCCCTTGTGCAGCAGAAGTGTTAACAAAAATCACTGCGTTGACGTACTAGTCAGTTGCTTGCGTTGGAATGGTCACATTTAAGGACTTCAACCACACACTCAGTAGCAAGAACCAGCCTGTACAACCTAATAAACATTACCACAGGAAAGCACGGCTCAGTAGCTTTCCCCCGAATGGTGAGACTTAAAAATTTCATGCACTGTCTCAAAATGTGATGTGCATTGTGCATCATTATGACATCACCTTAGAAAAGCACTGCTCAATAGCTTTCATTTGAATGGTGGCCTGAGAAAACAGCCCGCGACATTTCGCGACGCTATTAACGGTTTCCCGCGAAATGACGTTTGAGAAACGAGCGCAGAAGTTCCATACTGATGACGCATCACTACTCAGATCCGGGTCCCACGCGGCACGACCAATCAGAAGCACCACCCAGATCTGGGTAGTGACACGTCATCAGTATGTAATTTCTGCGCTCGATTCTCAGACGTCATTTCGCGGGGAAACCATTGATGGCGTCGCGAAATGTTTGTTGTCGGCTACCATTTAAATGGTCACATGTTAGGATTTCATGCGCAGACGACGAACAGCACCTATCAAAAACTATCTAAACAGCATCTTTAGAAAGTAAGTATCGTTAGTTTTTTAGAGCTCAAGTGAGAAGGAGCGAAATTTATTGACAAGTAAAGATATATGTTTTGTAGACAAGGAAGGAATAAATAAAGAAAGAAGACGTTTTAAACTTAAAGTACTGTTGACGGTATGATATTCTGGAGTTAAGGACTTAAGATGAGGTATGCTTAATCACGTTGGCCTGGAAAAAGGTCAAACCAATTTTAGAAGATACTCGAGACTTAAAAACCAGCTTCGTCGTTTGGCGTATGGGTGTGGTATCAATCACTCGATGTCGCGGACTAGCGTAGAATACATTACGAATACAGAGCATTGATTTTCTTTGTGCCCTAGTTATTCTCCTATTCTCCTCTACTCTAATGTAAATCACATTTGGAAATAAGGACAGTAGGTTTTAGCGGAGCTCTAACGCGCGCAGCGGAGCACCATGGGTAAGAAAATTTGGTTATCTGTACATCTGAGAAATTTTGGTTGTCACGTGACCGTACGTCCACCATCCTGTGCGTCCGTCTACACCACAGGTATACCAATGTAAAATAACTCAATGATCAGGTGCGGCAACCCGAAACTCGAGGTTTTTGGCGCGAAATCGCGTGGCCACACGGACGTTTTAGCGAGAAAAAACAACAACAAAGTCGAGTCTTTCTTCGACTAAGTTTTAATGTCTACACTGACGTAGATATAAACAGAGAAAGAGCTAGAGCGAGAGATAAAAAACAGAGGAGACCTATTTTGTTGGGAAAACAACATGACAGTTTTATATCGGCAGTGAGAAAATGAGAAATGCTAGCGGTCAGCAAGGAGAAGCCAGCAAAGTAAAAATGAGCGGCAGTGAAAGAATAGCGAACAGGAACACAAGCTGAACAAAATCTTTGGTGAGCACATACCACATTTTTTCCCCATAAAATGTGTAACTAGAAAGTTTCACGTTGTGGTCGTGCAAAACAACGGCAAGGAAATGTACAAAAAAGTGTGCTGCACTTGCGAAGTTGTTTTTTGTTACTAATTAGACTATCAATTTTTTTGCAGTTCTTGTTGCCGTCGCCGTTTAGCATTGCTCGATTTAGTTTTTTGTTGGAGTAAATTTTAAGTATATTATCGAGAGCTTCGCTTTCAGCCAAATCTATAGATTAAAGGTTATGTACATCAGGACAGGCCAATTCCTGGCTTACTCCACCTTACCCTAAGTCCGTGGACAACAATTTTTGCCATACTGAACTATTAATGTCATTGTGGAGCTACTTGTAACTAAAATAGCGTTTATTATTGACCTGCTAAAGGGCTCTCTTTTTACAATATTTCGTTGTTGTTGCAAGAGCTTAAGATGTTCATTAATGACTTTCTTTCTTTCACTCAGTCACTGTATGTCGTCGTGAGATACCTCACAACGTTTTCACATTCTGAAACCAATAGACCTTTTTACCGATACGGCAGCCATATTGAATTAATTGGATTTAAGGAGTATTATGGGATGCCCAGGGGGCATGAGGACGATCCCGTATACTTAAATCAGTATTTACGCGCGCTTTTCGGGCAATTTTTCTTTAAGTTTTCCTAGAAAAAGATTTTAATGGGAAAAAAAGATGGTTGTGCTCTGTTTGGATATAATATGATCACCTTTTTCCTGAGAAATGTACATTGAAGTTCTCTTTTTGCGCGAAAAGCGCGCGTAAATACTGAGCGAGTGCCCCTGGGCATCCCATAATACTCCTTAAATCTAATAAATTCAATATGGCCGCCGTATCGGTAAAAGGTCTATTCTCTGTTCCGTGCAGGCCTCACTGAGACCTCCAAGGAAACAGAGACCCGGCTTCTTTTTAGATTCTAAATGGGGTTTGACGTCTTTTCATCTCATCTGATCAGTGTTCTTTGAAGAACTATTTCCTGAATGTTTCCATACAGGTAAAAAATTAACAACAAAAATAACACCTTTGCCACCAAAAGCAAATGTTGCGCTTTGTCAAATTAATTTTAAGTGGTTGATACTTTCTCTCATAGTTAGAGATATTATCTCAGTGTAATGTTCACTTTTGAAACTTTCTATCCACGAAATGTCTCGATCTGGTTCGGGATTTATAAATTAAACGTAATAGGCATTTACATGTCCTACGTGACCATACAGCACCAAAAGCGTAGAACCTTTTCTTCGTCAAGTGAAAATGAGAAAAAAAAAACGGACTCGACAAAGCCTAAAGCTGTTTTAAGCTACTTTAAGAACCACTGAGAAAACTCAGGTATAAGAGATCGTACGTGTAAAGACGTTAATTCTTTACTTGTGAGAGTGAGTTATTCTGAATTCGCCATGACCATTAACGCTTTGATAAGCTTACACTTGCCATTGTTTGTGTGCTATTATTTTACTCTAATAGAGGATATCATCGAGGTTAACTTCCTCCCGTATGACGACTATTTTCTTACAGAAGGAGATGTTGCTTTCCTAGCGTATATGGTTCACATAAATTTTCTGCCAAAAATTTTTTCTGAGCAACGGAAGTAATGGTTTGGCAACACTTTGTTCTAGATTTTTTTTCTGTCTGTTTGTTTGTTTTTTTTTTCCTCTCGCAACTGACATGAGGTCATTCCCCCTTTAACAAAATGGAATCTGGTATTGTTTCTAGAATATTCAACTTGGCCCTTTCATTGGAAGTGAAAAGGTTTAATACGGGATAACGTTTTTCTTTCGCGTATTTAACCTGTTCACTTAAATAAGGGGCCAAGGTCAGAATATTTTTACTATTAAGTAATTAGTACCATGTGAAAGTACTGCTCAAAGTAAAGACCCAAAGTAAAGAGATCATGATTCAACGAGAGAATATTGCAAGGTTACAATTCATTCACGCGCGTGAAATTACACGATGAAACATTTTTCGGTGTGAATGAAAGGTTTACAGTCAAACCAAGTCAAGCGTACCCCTCAAGATTCTATCAGTGAATTGATTATTTGAAAAATGAAGCCGTTAGTCGTTCCCGTAACTGGTGTCAAATTCAAAGCGGCATTTCTGCATGCGTAATGAGCAGTGAATATTTTACGAGAACTTCTCTGTATTTGGTTAGAATGGAAATCTTTGAATGGATTAAGCTTCTTAGAAGACATTTACATCAATTTCAGGAAAATGGAACTGGTAGAAATTTCATAACTGCCTCGCGTGTGAATTCACGGCTCATTACACATACAAGAATGCAGAGATCAATCTGAAATCTACAACTAGCAACGGATTCAACTTTTGAATAATAAATTCTTTATTGGATTCTTGGGGGGCACGCTTGACCTGGTTTGACAAACGTGAATTTGTACCACGTGACAAAGTTTTTCCTTTAATTAATTGTCGTTAACTGTTTATTACTTCTGCTCAAAAGTAAGTAGTTTCATTCCAATTTTATTTATAAGAATTGTTCTGGAC